CAGTCACATGTAAAGGAACCCAAGGATTTAAGAGAGGAGAATAGTATAGGGTTGAATTGGTTCATCAAGGAGTCAAGATAGAAAGATGACGGCAGCAAGTGCAGAGGAGATGACCTGGGAGAGAATTGAGGGGTCAAGGGATTGGAAGCCACGGTGCAGATGAAGAGTAGGGTTATGTAAGGAAAGGCAGAGAAAGAGGTGAAAAGTCAATAGATTATGGTTGGATAACGGGATTCCAGAATTCTTAAACATGTGGGTGATAGCAAGATCATCTTTGTGTGTGACTGAGGTGGACAGGAGGAGTAGCTCATGGGATGTGACTAGGCTGAGGAACTTAGTGGTTAGGATATTTGAGGGAAGATCAACCCATTTGCTGAAGTCTCCTAGTACAGGGGCAGGAGTTGGCTAAGAGAGAAACATTGTAAGCCCGGTATCAAACTCATTGAGGGGCAGAGGGTGGGGAGATCTAGAAGTAAGAGCTACAAGGATTTTGATTAGGAAATAGATATGTAGATCAAGAACCTCAAAGGAAAAAAAAAATACTGAATGAGGGAGGAAGGGAGAGAGTACAGGAAGCAAAGATTATTCTAACTCCCCTGCCTCAACCAGTGAGCTAAGGAGAAGTGCTCCCCCAAAAGACAAAGTCTCTAAATACATGTCACCAACTTTTTACCTTCCAATAACCCTTCAAGGGTGAGTAATCATGAACTCCCAACTTTATAGATTAGGAAACAGAGGCACAGACATTCACAGTGCCAAGTCAGCACGAATGCAAGCACTAGAACTCAGGTCCTATAACTCTAAGGAAAGAGCAAGGCCCACTCCACTACATGACTTTGCCTCTCATTCAGCATCTTCTATAGAATCCAAGGCCTCTATACTCACAGGTTCCAGGACAGGGCTGATTAAGAAGGCTGGTCCCCACAAGAACTGATGGAATATGTCCCAAGTTTTACTGTCTTCTACAAACCTGAGCAGAGAAACAAGGTATCACAATCTGGGTTCTCCCCAAAGTCATGGACAAAGACTTTCTCCAGGTCACATAAACATAAAGATTTTGAGCTCTAAGGTTCTAAAGAGCCTTACCGATCAGGTCAGCCCAGTGGCCTAGACTCGGCATCCTCTGGCTGCTGCATCCAAGCAATGCAGACTTTTGGTTCCTTGGCTGCCTTCCTTCTTTCTCTTGGTCTGGTTCTACCAAGCACACTCACTACCTTGTATATTGTGGGTTAATGTGAAGATATATGTACTTTTCACATTTATCATATATGGATTTAGACCCTTACATTTTATCATCCTTAACATAGGCATTTTGTAACTCCTCCACACCTGCTCATCAACTTACATGTGAATATCATTTCACATATCATTGTGAATTCACATATCAACGTGAATATCATTCACATATGTATCTGTGTGTCTATTTATGTAGATTATAGAAGGAAGGCAACAACATTATAGCTGAATAATCCTTAGAGGAAAAAGAGTCAGGGATACGATTTAACCTCATTACATAGAATATTTTCAAACTGCCATTTAGCTTGTGAAAATATTGTTTGCTATTTGGAGTTTCTCTAAACCTGTGAAGTGGTTCTTCTGCTTTTGCAAATAGTTTAAAATGCAGTTGTATCCCCCACATTTGAACACTTCTTAATATTAATGCAACTTGAAAGTATTAATCTGTAAATGTATAAGGAGGCAAAAGTCAATTGACTTGTCTAAATTCAAAAGGATAAATCAAGGTCACAAATCCTTGACCTTGAAAATATTATGCAAACTAATTATGTGACCCAAGAGAACTACAAAAGCAAAAGATTCATCCTAGTGATAATTCACTAAAAAGAATCTTAGGGTCACATTTATAAGACAAAAATATCTTTGGTCAATTTATTGGAGTCTCTATAATCAAAGCAGTTCTTTAAAGTTAACATCCTTTAAATTTTTCCTAATTAGCCAGTCATAAGCTAATAAGTGTTATAGCTAAGATAGTAAGTCAAATCTCTTAACTCCAAGGTCAATGTCCTTTCCAATAAATCATGTTGCCTATCTCAATAATAGATATGCTCCATTCTAGAATGATTTCAAACAAAAGTCCCAGCAACCTAGAGTAGGCACTTACTCATGGAGAAGCGGCCGGATAACAGTGCTGCCATCAACATGAGCCTTGTGCATGAGGGTGTAGAGATATGGCAAGAGGGTATATCTTATCTGAAGGACACTCCTTGAGAGATCCTCGAAGGTAGAATTCCAAGACACTGGATCCTGTCTCTAAATCAGAAAAAAGGAATACTCACAGATCCCCAAACCTTCGACCCTGCTCCAATGGAACTAGTCAGTTTGTGTTCCTGCCCTTTTTCTTTCATGACTCCTGGGCTGGTAGCACTGGCCTTAATTCAGGAAGAATTCCTGATGCTTCTTTTATCCCCTATGCCTGAGGGACCTTGAACAAAGTTAACTCTTACCCCGATCCAGAAATATGGCCTGGGAAAGACTGACATTCATTCCTGACCACACATTTGCATGCTCAGCAGCAATCGTACATTACACAATGGAATGGGTTTGAGTTATATGCAAAGAACATATATATGTGAAAGGATGGAGGGATCCTGGCATTATAACCTCCTAGCATGGCTACAAGATCTCTTCTTGCTATCCCCACTCTTTCTAGAATTTGATAGACATGAGATATTCTATACTACTCTAGCAAATGCAGAATTTATGTTATATATTTTTCTGTCATGAAGGACATTATCTCATGAGAGAGAAATGAGGCCTGAGGTCTGGCACAAGGGCAGGCCTGAGGCACAAGATGGTATCTCACCCTGGGCCCAAGTGTATTGTGGTTCCTAGAGAAAGGGTAAAAGGCTCCCAGCTGCATCCAGCGAGCACACATCTCAAACTCAGCATCTTGAAAGAACCCACAGATATCAGCTCCTGTCTGAGAACAAGAAAAAAAATGGGGAATGGGAATATTCTGAGTTTCTGAAGCAGTCTGAAATCTGATAAAGTGGATTTAAGTGCTGACCCAAGTGAGACTTACATAGGATATTCCAAAGAGACTGAACTCCATCATGCCTGCAATGAGAATCACAGCTGTATCAAATGAGGCACTTGGAGATAACTGACCAAGCTCTAACTTTCCTCACTCATTGACTTGAATAGCTGATCAAAGAAATGTCCAAAGATATAAGTGGAATGACACAACAGACAAAGATCTGACACTTTTCTGTTATCTTTAACGTCCAGATAAAGGATGACACTTACTGACCACAAAAGCTTCATTCCATTCCATTCATTAGAATTAGGTCCATACATACCAATAATGGATTTATAGAGCTGGTCCCATGCTGCCGTGTTGTCTCCCAGCCAATGTCCTGCCCAGCGTCCCGAGGAGGGAAAGGTTGAGCGAGTGATCACGATTCCTCTCTCTCCTGTGGCCTCCTGCACAGCCCTGATCAGGGAAGAAAAATGAGACATGAGAGTCAATCTGGAGGTGGCCAGAGGGCTTCGCCCATCAGAAAGTTTCTGCAGCTGAGACTATAAGCTGAGGATCTTCTCCCTAGCTGACAAAAACGGACAAGTAAGAAAATCAGAGCCACAGTACAATCTTCACCCAATGTCCCAGGTAAAAAACTTAGAACCATGATGTACTGTGTATTATATATGAATTCCAGATAATATAAAAACATTACATTTAGACTGAAATTAGTATATCAGGGGATGGGTTTTCATTTTCTTCAGTTCTTTAATGGATTTACCTCCTTGATGATATATATTATTGACTAATTCTGGTTAATTCTCATTATGTGAACACACAAAAAGACTGTGTTAAGTTTGAGGGCAAGAAAGAGAAGAGCAAAGTCTTTTTGCTGGTCATTTATTGCAACTTGGGGACCATCCATCTTTTGTCAGAAACCCCAATTCTGTCCACCCACTACCTGACAAAGGCCTCAGAGAGAGGGAGGCAGGGACTCACTCATATGTGGGCTTTGTCTGGGACCAGCCATAGAGATTGTGCACGTCATAGTGCCTCACTGGGCTTCCATCAGGCAGGAACTGCTGACTTTCCATGCACAGGGTCTTACTGCTCAGGCCTCTGTCTCTTGATTCCAGATCTGGGGAAAAAGATGTAATGACGTGAGATTCCCCACAACAATGGCAAGGACTTCACATCCGGTAGCAGTGAAGGAGCTGGCTGGAGCTGAAGGGAAGAGAGAGGATGGAGTATGAGTTTGAGAGAGAAAAGTAGGTCAGAGCTAGAATATGTAAAGCTTTGAATACTAGACCACAGAATTTAAGCTCTAGTAGGAAATGGAAAACTAATGATGATTTCTGAGCATGGACCACAGACTATGGAATTTAGAGCTAGAAAGAACCTCAGAGACTGGGTAAGTCCAACCCCTTCATGTTACAGATGAAGAAACAAAGGCCCAGAGAGTTAAATGATAGCCACAAGATTAGAAAAGCTAATAAGCAGCAGAGCTGAGATTTGAACCCAAGTCTTCTGACTCCAAATATAGTGTTCTTTCCACTATTTCATAGGATAAAATGCTCATATCTGTGTAACAAAAAGATTAAGCTGCTGATGTGTAAGATCAATTAGAGGGGAAGGTTTAGAGATAAAGAGATCAATCTGTAAGTTTTTATAATAAACATGGTGAGAAAAAAGTTAGTGACTAAATTGGAGCAGTGGTAGTTGGAATTATCAGAAGTACAATATTTTGGTTTGCCAGAAACAACCAAGGATAAGAAGGAAGGAGACTGATGTTCCATCCTTACCTATACCACTAAGTGGGTGTGTGATCATTTTACTTCCATGTTTTCCAGTTTCCTTACCAAGAGAGTTGAGCTAGATAATAATAGCTTTCATTTCCATAGTGTTCTAAGTTCAACATGGAGGCAACCTGGTGTCACGGATAGAAGGCCAGTCTCAGAGCCAGGAAGATCTCAGTCCCAATCTTGCCTCTGACACATAACTAGCTGCATGACCCTGAGTAAATCATTTAATTTATCAGTTCTTCCAGTCAACACTCTAAAACTAAAAGCTACAAATGTCAAATGACAAAAGACAATCTGCATCCAGGTAGGAAGTTTCTGTACTGGAAGTTCTCTACATTGTACAGACCAAAGTGCCTTCTTACCCCTTTCCCCATAATGATAATATAAATATCCATTTGAATCTCACACCAATCCTATGGTGCAAAAAGTACAAATACAGGGGTTTTACAAGTTTCAGTTCAGTTTTAATTTTGGAACACCCTATATCTTATTAGCCCTTAATTTATGAGGAAACTTTAGAGTCATGGTCCTATGGATAAGTGGTAGAACCAGGGATACAAATCCAGGTCTCCTGGCTGCAATTTCAGTACTCTAGATCCTATATCAGATAGATTCTAAGACCCCTTCTTGCTCTAAGATTTTGGATTCACTATTTAGGAACAGAATTGATACAATTTAGATATGTGGGGTGCAAAGAAGCCAAAAGTTTGAAGAATGAGCGAATGGGGAAAATAGGAAAACCATTGACAGAGACAGAAAAGTCAGGGACAATATGTAGAGGAACAAAAATAAGGAATCTACTTATAGATATAGAGCTTGAGGTACCAGAGGAACATCTATGTTAAATGTCTGCTAGGCAAAGGCAATTCAGGAATTCAAATCTAAAGCTCAGGGGGAAAAAGGCAGCACTAAAGATATACATTCGAGAGATCTTCAATTAGATATATATGTTGGAAGCAATGGGACTGAGTGAGATTGTCAAAGGAAATAGTAGAAATGGTAGAAGAACTCAGAATCAGTAAGCCTTGATTTGAGACACTGTTCTGTTAAGCAAATAACTTTTGGGCCAAGGCTGTAAAACAAGGGCTTGGGGAGTAGAGTAACCCTAAACTCCCTACTAGCTCTAAGTTTACTAGTATATTCTGGTATAGAGAGAAAGAGAAAGGAAAAGAGAGAACATCCAGATAGAGCCTTTGACAAATCCCTATGTTAAGAAGGTGGAAAGAAGAACATGTCAAGAAAAGCAAAAAGACAAGAAGTTAAAGATAAGAGAGGAGATCCAAAAGAATTGGGGATAAAGGAAGCCAAAGACAGAGAGTATCAAAAAAGAAGGGGTATCAACAGTGCCAATGCTACAAAGAAATTAAGAAGAATAAGTAAAAGTCAATGCATTAGACCCCAAGGAGAAATTTGGAAGAACAGTTTTGGAATAGTAGTGAGGTTGGAAGCTAGACACAGGAAGTCACTTGATGTCTTGGCAATCTCCTCTCCCAGCCTTCCTTCTGGAGACTGTAAGCCTAGATAAATTATAAAGGAATTGACTTTCAATGATTTGACTAATGAGAAAACATCAGACAAATTCCCTATATACTCTGAATAATACTACTAATCATTCTGTCCTTCAGAAGCATGTAAACAATGCTCTGTCCTGGACTTTTTTTTTAAATAACATTCATTATTTTGAAACCTCATTTGCTGTCAACACTAGGTATATAATTACCAAAAGAATATAGTAATCAAGGCAATATGAGATGAAAGATAAGCATTCTCATTCTAGGGTTATCAATGGTTATTCACAGGCAACTGGTCTCCCTGCCTTCAGTTTTCCTTCCTCCATACCCTCCCAAATAAAAACAAAAATTAAAAAAAAAACAATTGAGCTGGATTGAATTGAAAGTAATTAAAATGACACCCTCATCATCAGAGAAGATCCACAAAAAATATTTCTAGGGGAATTTTCAGCCTGAAATTCTCCAAATGTATTTCTTCTCCTATCTGAGAAGGACATCAATCATGGCACTGCAGCCAACAGAACTGAATTGGACTAAAGTTCATTGAGGATTGATAGCAAACTTGAACCACTGAGAATCCCTTTCAGGCTTTCACTCTACTTTCAAAGTTAAATAAAGCTTTTGTCTCAATAAAAATCAAGATCTACCTAATAGTTAGTCATTTGTTCCCAAACTCGTCTTTGCAGACTTGACCTCTCATTGTTGAAATCACCCTAGAAGAACCTAGATAGCTTAGCATGCTAGTGTACTTATTCTCAGAGCAATGGCCGTGCCCACGCTTGGCTGCAAGCAAGTTGTGGTCCTAGGTCTCTTCAACAAGAGCCTAAGTAATATTCTTCCAAACAGAAAGTAAAATGTACTTACAGGGTATATATGGAGGATGGTTAAGCATGGTACTCATACAGCCTGGAGGAACTGCTCCATTCACAAAGCTTGCTGGTTCATTCATGTCCTAAAAAATTAAAACAATACTATGTTTTATGTACATACATATTTATGTACACATATACTGATAGTAACATAATCATATTTTATATTATATACATATATATAAATATGCATCATCATAATAATTAGCATTTACATAGTACTTAAAGTTTTACATAGTTTTAAATGTGGTATTTCATATAACAACTCTGTGAAGTAGGTGCTATTATTTTCCCTGGTTTACAAATCAGAAAATTGAGGCTGACAAGTCAAGTGGTTTGCGCACGGTTACACAGAGAGTAATTGTCTAAGGCCAGATGTGAATTTAGGTTATCCTGACTCCAAGTCTAGTTTCTCTGTCCACTATGCTACCTTTCTGCCTACTTAAATGTTCGTATGTGTTAACCACCCTGTCACCTCAAGAAATAGTGATACACTCAGAATGTGGAGGCACTAATGATGCAAGAAGGTTGATTAAAATGCTAATAGAAATCACTTGGAAGGATCAAGTTATAGTTTCTGTCAGGACATGCTGGAGAATCAAATACATTCACAGGAATAATTGAGTAAAAGCAAGACTAAAGCTCTTGAACTTGCAGGTGCATTAGACAGATTTCAAGTCATAGAATTTAATGTGAGTTTTTGCTGGGATATAGTTTGAACTATTATCTGGAATGATGGTGCATGAATATAATACTGGTATGGCTGATGGATTCACTGAACTCAGGAAATCTAAGTTATCGTAGGGCTAAAGCTGTTTGGATTGTCTTCACCCTTTCCCCCAGGAATAGAAGCCGTCAAGCTGACTAAGGAGGAATGGACCAGCCCAGGTCAGAAACAGAGCAGGTTAGTTTCCATGGCAATCAGTGGTGAGATCAGGTCCATGAAAGACTGCTATGTTTTCAGCCTAGGCAAGATAGGGACATCCCACAAAAACAACAAAACAAACCAAAACAAAAGTATTTGTGCTTGATCAAATAAAAGAAGTATTAAAAAAAAAGTGCTAAAAAAAATCTTTCTTGGTCCTTTAGTGCCTGAACACCAATTACACACATACATGGCAATGCACAATCATATGTAATCTTACAGTGTCTACATACATGTATGTACACTTACTCAGACATACACACTTACAATCCACATTCCATCATATTTCAGGCTCTTCTGTGGCTCATTGGGATTGCTGTAGAGTTCTAGCAATTCCCGCTTCCACCACGTGACTGTTGAATTACGGAAAAAGTCTGGGAAGGCAACGTGAGCTCTGTATATCTGTAAAGATGAAAAACAACCCCAGGGCAGATGTAGTCAGGTCAATGACAAGAATTTATTTTGCAGTTAAGTACAGATAATTTCTGAGAGCATTCAATGTGTTTTAGAATATTAAAAAGCAACTGAATACTTATAGCAGAATCACAAAATTTGAGAGTTGGAAAGGAATCTCTCCTACAACATATGTGAAAAGTTTTTATCCACTCTCTGCTTAAAGACCTCCAAGGAGGAATAGCGTACCACCTCTAGAAGCAGTTCATCCCATTAGAGCTGAACAGCTCTAATTGTTAGAAATACTTTCGTGTGACAAAAGCCTAAATTTGCCTTTTTTGAAATTTGTACCCTTTGCTCTTGGATATGGCCTCTCGGGACACCTCTGATCCTTCTCCTACAAGAAGAAATGATTATGTTTTGAGCTAACACCACCCAATATTCCAATAGTCTGCCATTCAAGCACTAGTCAGGCCCTACAATTCCAAGATTAGAAGAAATTGGGTATATTCATAATGGTATGACTTTAGACTCTCAAAGAGATGTCCCATTCTTAGAATGTCCTTCAGAGGAAGGATTGTTTTAAGGCTCAGTGATGTGCAAATGTTATGGTTTACAAATACTTTCCATAGAGTTGCAGATTATTTAGTACTCTGAATCACAAAGATACAAACACATATATATATATCATGGATAAATGTCTGTAAATCATAAAACCTGATTTAATTCAACAAACATGTATTAAGCTCCTTGCATGTATAAAGCACTGCACAAAGAAAAAATGAAATAACTGCCTACGCAAGACTTAACGTTATTTTGAGAGAGATACAATATCACAGAGGTCATGCCATATTTTCCTTCTCCCAGTGGTTAATAGTACCAGTCAGAAGGCTCTAATGGAGTCATAGTATTCTTACCTAGACTCCTGTCTATCTGGAATTGCAGACATAACTTCCTAAAAGAGTTTTGTTATCAGATATTGTCTCACTGGTCAGTCAACAGTTGTTGTTAGGAAAATGGCTGAGCAGATATGGGACCAGAGAATGAGAATTAACTAGGACATGTTGAGATAGAGAATGGGGATTAACAATGATGAGGGTGGGAAAGAGAGCCTACAAAATGTAGTTTCTGAAGAGCGAATGAAGGGCTAACTAATACCGCCTCTTTGGGGGAAGAAAAGCATGTGTTTTTGTACAAGGAAGCAAATTCAAGATAATTTGAGGAGGCTCTGAAAAGGCTCAGTAAAAGAAATGGTACCTGAGCTGATCCTTGAGTGAAGGTACAGATTTTAAGAGTTTGCTGGAAAAGGAAGGACATTCTAACGAGATGATAGGTTGAAGGGAGGTGGAATGTCAGAATTACATTGCAGCTGATATGTTAGTTTGGACAAAACACAGAGTATATATAGGGAAATAATATGACATCAATCTGTAAAGAAAGACTGTAGACCGTTTATGGAGATATTAAAATACTAGACTGAAGAGATAACATTTTATGCTAAAAGTAATAGTGAGCCATCGCCAATTTTAAAGAAAAGGGTGATATCATAGAACTTGTGACTTTTTGGCAACTGTGTGAAGGATAGATTGGAGAAGAGTAAGAATGGAAGGTCAAGAGATGATGAGGGCTTGAATGAGGATAAAATCTGTATGAACAGACAGAATGAGCCATATAAGAGAACTGTTGAGGAAGTGGGATTGACAAGACTTGGCAACTGATTGCATCTAAGGAAAAGATAAATCAGAAAAAGGGAAACATAGAAGATAACCACAAGGCTGGGGATTGATGCTACCTATCTATAATATTCCAGATCCTGTTTAATACATTTAACCTACAAGGACTGGGAAAAGTTCTTTGTTTCTTATGCATATGATCAATTTGTATAATGTGTCTCCAATGCCCATAGAAATGCGAGGAGAACCAGTGGAGTTGGTCTGACAGAGCACGGTTAGTTAAGGTATAGTCCTTCAGAGATTTTGTTTTTCAAGAAGACTAGATGAAGCATAAGCTATTCTTTTTTTAAATTAATTTTTAGTTTTCAACATTCACTTTTGAGTTTTAAATTTTTTCCCCTCCCTCCTCTCCCTCCCCACAAGCTGGTGTGCAATCTGATATAGACTCTACATATACATTCTTATTAAACATATTTTAACATTAGTCATGTTGTAAAGAAGAATTAGAACCAATAGGAGGAACCACAAGAAAGAAGAAACAAAACAAAACAGAAGGAAAAACAGCAAATAGTATGCTTCAATCTGCATTCAGACTCCATAGTTCTTTCTCTGGATGTGGATATCATTTTCCATCACGAGACTTTTGGAGATGTCTTAAATCCTTACATTGCTGAGAACAGCTAAGTCTATCAAGGTCAGTCATCGCACAATGTGGCTGTTACTGTGTACGATGTTCTCCTGGTTCTGCAGCATAAGCTCTTCTAATTGAGTAGAGTCTGCCAATGACAACTCAGAGCTATAATCTCTCTCCTTATAAAAGTTATACATTAATCTTAGTTCTACCTTCTGAACCCTTCAGTAAAAGCTAAAACCAATAGAGAACCCAGGCTCATGCTCAGATTCAGAAAAATAATGCCTAGAATGTCTTTTAATCTAAATTTGGAGTTAAAATTGATCAATGGGCAGAATAATGCTCTGTTCATTTATTCATTTAATATATGTTTGCGATGTCCAATTGAAACATCAGGGCCAGCACTGTAGTGAAAAACAGAATTTCAACCTTTTCCACAGCTTTAGTCCTTGAATAATTGTAATAATAGAGTTCCCCTTCCTATAACCATAAACATTATATCCCAAACTAACAAAAAAAAAAGTTTTACCTCCACTTGAATGTCCCAATCAATAGATGAATTGACAATGACATTGGGCAAATCTGGCCAGACCTTTAGAGGAAGAAAGAGGAAAGGGAAAAAAAGTGTTAAAAATAACACCTTAGCATGGTATTTCCCAAGAAAGAGTAAATCTTGGGTCTGTGAGTACATAACTAGCACATTTAATGAGGGTCTAGGGAGAAAACAAAAGGAGACCCTGGAATCAATCTTGCTAAAGGAAACTTCCTAGTGCCTCCCTCCCCCCCCCACACAGTCTCTGTTCATTGTCCTCTCCTCCTGGGTTCTCTCTTCTCCTTTGCTTTTTCTGACTGTTCTATTCTGGTTCTCCTCTTCTGGATCATCATCAATGTCCTCTCCCACTTATTGTGAGTGTTCCCCAAGCCTCTGTACTGGGCCCTCTCCTTTTCTAACTTTGAACCTTCTCAGTGATATCATCAGTCCCATGGGTTCAATTTTCATCTCTACATAAATGACTTCTCTATATAGATAACCCTCATATCTCCCCAGAGCCCCAGTTCCATATTACCAATTACTTGTTGGCTATCCCCCATGGGCATCTCAAATTCCACATGCACAAAATGAAACTCATTAAGGAAAAGTCCCTAAACCCATTTCTCTTTCAAACTTCTCTGTTTCTGTTGAAGACAACAATATCTTATCAGTCACATTGGTCTGCAACCTCAGAGTTAAAAGCAACTCTTCCCTCTCCCTCCTCAATCAACTCCTATTTCCAATTTCACTGCCAAGTCTAACCCCACAATTTCTCTAGAATCCAGTGTCTTCTCTACATTCACATGGTTACTATTCTCATCCTGGCCACCATCACCATCACCTTCGATCTAGCCTGTTGTGGCAGCTTCTTAGCTGGACTCTTAGCTTCTAGTTGCTCCCCTCTTCAATTCTACCCTGTTGTCTCCTGGATAAAAATGGAAGTTCCTTTTGGCTTTTAAAACCCTTAATAATCTTGTACTAGACTACCTTTCCAGGCTTATTGCAAACATTTCCACAATGTACATTCTGGTAAAATTTACTTGCTGTTCCTGAAATTTGGCATTCTATCTTCTGAATACATACATTTTTGTAGGTTGCTTCCATGCCTAGAGAAAACTCTACCTCTAACTTTCTAACTCTAACTTTGAGAATTCCTAGCTCCTTCAAAGCTCAAGTCCTATGAAATCTCCTATAGGAAGCCTTTCCTGATTCCTTAACTGTTATTGCTTTCTTCTCCTTCCTAAAATATGTTTATGTTAATCTGTTTATATGTTTTATTCTCTACCCCACTCCCAATAGAATATGAGCTCTCTGAGGGCAGGATATTTTATTTTTGTCATTGTATTTCCAACATCTAACACAATTACTTAGTTGGAGCTTAATCAGTGCTTGTTGGATTAGATTATATTTATCACAAAAACACTAACATTCCTTCATGTTTGCCTCCATAGGACAGAATCAACTCCCCAACTCTACCTTTCCCCAGACAATGTCGCTGTCATCTGGCCATTTGATGAACACATTATCCTGGAGTCCACGAGTGAATGCAGGATATGGCTGGGTCTCGTTGCCAGAAATGGCTGGGTCCTGGAATCAAAGGATAATAGTTACTTGGGGAAATCACAGTATCAGAGACAGAACTACTCATGGATAAGGATAACAGCAATCCCTCATAGAAGAAAAAAGAGTCATTAGCAACATCTGAGAGTCTCACACTGAACTTCAGAGCTGCTATGAATTCTGGGAAACATATTTTTCTTCTGTTCAGTTTCCTTAACTGTAACATAGTGATCAACATAACACACTACAATTCCCCTGACTTCCCCAAACGCAGCCACACACCAGAATAAGGATGACTCGCATCCCAGCTGCTTTCATTTGATTGATCAGATTGGGAAAGCCAGCAAACTTGGGGCTGAGAGTAAAGTCCAACTGCCGCTCCATGTAATCAATGTCTGCATACTGCACATCCTGAAGGAAAAGAAAAGGAAGGAGGCTGAGTGTCACTTTAAAGACATGACGTGCTTAACTCTCCATTAGACCAAGTGTATACTGTATATTCTCTTCCATGATGACTTCCATACTGGCATCCCCCAACATTCCTGCACTGCCTCTTCCTACTACCAGATGGCATACATTCAGATTATTCAAAACAATGTTAATAAACTTGAAGCAAAAACAGTAAGTAAAGCAAATCTAGCAGAAAAATATTATAACATTCCAAAATGAAAAAGAAAGTTATTTGAGCTGTCTATGCCATTATTCTACTAAGCAAATATTGTATGTTTCTGTCCTCAATTAACAAAATGAAAAAGACAATAAAAGGGAAATGAAGAGTCATACATAAGGGATCTGGGCTGCCACCATAGCATCATAAAGTTCAGCAATTTCAGCATCATTCTGGTATCCATAGCGACAAAGTTGGAACCCTAAGGCCCAGTAAGGTGTCATCACTGGCCGCCCAACCAACTGAAAAAGCAAGAACAGAAAACAGTTCAATCAAACAGTATTCCTTGGGGAGGAAAAATGTTTGGATCAAACAAAGAATACATGAAACCTTTTTCCATAGTCTTTTCTGGTGAGGAGTCACACAATCCAGGACCTCTAAAAGGCTACAGAACTATAGTTCTATAGAACTATAGGCAGGAAGTACTATGTAGATTTCTAAAAGAAATTCCTTCATTTGGGCATCCTTTTTAGGAACCCTGAAAATCTCTGCCATCTCTACACTTTCTAGTGCTTCAGAAGTATACATTCAAAGTCACTGTCATCTTGCAGAGGCAAGGAATTGCTTCCGAATTCACTTCATGGCCCTTTAACACTATGAGCCAATCTTCAAGAGAGACAAAGATGGTGGCCTCACCAGCAAGCTACATAAACCATTGTGCCCTTCACAAGGCTAAGTTCATACTTGTTACGTAAAGTTACTTGATGAATTGCATGATTTCCTACCTCTGTGTACTGCTGAGTGACGAGCTCTGGGGTTGGCCCCAAAACCATGTAAAAGTCCAGAATACCTCCCACAGTACGATATGTCAGTGCAGGGGTGGGCTGGAAAGTCACATCTGGAAAGAGACAGCAAGTATTTAGAGATACAGAATCAAAGACTGCAAGGTTGAACAGAAATCCAGGTCACCTTGTCCAGGTCATGTCTAAGCAAGAGCTCCCCATCAGCATCACATAAAGATGGTCATCCAAATTCCATTTTAATACTTACAGTAATGGAGGCTTCACTAGAAGCCCATTCTCTCTTTTGACAATTTTAACAAAATTTGACAAAATTGACTTTTTTTTCTTATGTAAAACTGATACCTGCCTCTCTCTAGTGTTAGATGAACTGGCAAACTTTCCAGATTCCAAATCTCCAGGAAGTTCTTCAAGCTAATATCTTTGCTTTGCATCAATGCTGCTCCATCCTCTTTTACCTACTTACTTTAACTTTCAACATTACTCTACCTGTCACCAAGACTTGAAAGCTAGCTTCAGGCTTGAAAGTAACCTTTGAGTCCTGCCTCATGTCCAGTAACAAAATTTTTCTGATTCTACGTGTGACATCCTTTGTAACTTTTCTTTACTTACCATCTTCCCCCGCTTCACAAGCCCTTATTACCTCTCTTATTACCTTGACTTTTCTAACTGGTTAATTCCAGTTTCACCCCACTTCCAATATATCCTACATAGTGCTTCCAATTAATCTTGTTAATACACAGTTCTTAAAATGCCGCTACCCACTGCCTAACTAAAAACATTCAAGCACCTCAGTCTGGCATTCAAAGCCCTTCACAATCTGGCTCTAGCATACATTTCCAACCACACTTCATATTATTCCCCCTCATAAACATTATAATCCACCCAAACTGGATTCTTCGTCATTGTCTGAATATATTTAATACTTTCCCACCTCTTTGCCTTTGCTCATGTTATTTCCTATTTCTGAAATGCCATCTCTACTACTACCATTATCTTTTTCTTTTTGAAGTACTCCCCACTCCTCAAAGATTTCAATTCTTTCATGAGTCCTTCCCTTCTACTTCTTATCTCCTTACCCCATAAAGGTCAAAAGTGATTTCTCCAAATTTTTATAGCACTTTGTTCACACTTCTTTTATATAGAATCATTTTTTGTTTTATAATTGTTATGTACATATAAAACATATTATATTATTTATATGTAAGTATACATGATCACATATATAATTATATATAACAACTGTTTTATATATGAATATATAACAGATATATAATTATTTATATAAACTTATACATAAAATTATATATACATTATATAGGTGCATATATATGCATGTATATATGTATATGTGTGTGTATATGTATATACATATATATACACATATATGTGTGTATATATGTATATGTGTGTGTATATATGTATATACATATATATATGCACATATATACACATCTATGTGTGTGTATGTGTATATAAAAAATCTCCCATACTAGACTGCAAGCAGTTTGAAAGAAGGGAATATATCTTTATCCTTGTTGTTATTGTTGTTGTTATTGTCATTATTGAGTCATTTTCAGTCATATCCAATTTTTTGTGACCCCCACAAGTTTTCTTAGCAAAATACTGGAGTGGTTTGCCATTTCCTTCTCCAGCTTATTTTACAGATGAAGAAACTGAGGCAAACAGGGTTAACTGACTTGCCCAGGGTCACATAGCTAGTAAGCATCTGAGGCCAGACTTGAACTCAAGTCTTCTTAAATCCAGGCTTAGCGCTCTATCCACTGCACCACCTAGCTGTCTTTATGTTTACATCTCCCTTAATATTGTACACAAAGGAAAAGCTCAAATAATGTTTTTCAAATTTAATGTAATTGGAAACCTGCTGGAACTGTTCCATTCAGAGGTTACCCAAAACTATACAGCCCAGAAAGGCCAATGAGGAACTTCCCATCTTACCCATGGCATTGCTATTGAGCAGGAGGACCCCATGGGCATTGCCATCCTCCTCCAGGCCCATGTAATAGGGGTGCACACCATAGGAATTCTTCTTGTACTACGGCAAAGAAGAAGAAAAAAAAGATCTTTAGAAACATTTTTCCCCTACCAGAAACCCACATGTAAATGGATACCAATTTTAGATCCTGATTCCTCTCTGAAAGTGGTTAAAGGTGTCAGCCCCAAAGGAGAAGGAAAGAGTTGGCTTCCTCTGTGTCAGAGCAGAACTCAACAGACTTGGGTGAGTTTAGATGAATGAAGCCAAGAGAGGATACATACAAACTAATATGGATAGACAGACAAAGAAATCTCAAAACCTTCCTTACCCCTGGGGGCTGGTCTCGCGCAAACATTCCCCATGTGTGCCAGTTCATATTTCTCCGGAATGTCGTGTGCTCTGTTTCCCCAAAGCCATAGATGTACTGGGATGGGAGGCGGTTAGAGATGCGTAGGAACATGTCATTAAAGGTGAAGCCAGGGATCTGAGAATCCCAACTGAAACACAAAAGTAGATATTTATTCTGGGGAAGATATTCTACCATCATCAAGTATTGTAAATTCCCTTCTTTAAAATAAAATTCATTTTTTAAAATAAAAGGCAATTCTATAACTCAAATACCAATATGTCACATATTCCATCATCCATTTTTCTCCTAACATCCTCAGCTCTGTGGGACTGCCTCAAAGCATGTTCCCAAGCATAAAATTTCAAAGGTCTCATGAGAATAGATCCCTCTGAAAGAACTCACTGGTCTGTTCCACACCATGCCTTCTCTACTTGGACCATCCCTTCCAACTCCTCACCATAGGTAATCTGATAATCCACACCAAAACCCCTCAGTTTTGATAAGTGGGCTACTGCCTTATCTTTCTAAGACCATTCCATGTCATACTCAAGTACTCATAACCCCTTCCTTTTCTAGCACCTCTTTATACAATGTCTTGCCCTATCTAACCTCCTTGAGGGTAGGAACTGTCTTGCTTATATTTATAGCACAGTACTTAGCACAATGCTTGACACATAATAAACACTTAATAAATGTTCACTCTATCTATCTATCTACATTCTAGAACCTGAACCCAGACTGTCACTTTAGGATAGTGTCTTCATAATAACAATTAAATTTACATAAACCTCTCAACTTTATAAAGTGCTTTCCTTGAAACTATTTCATGGAGAAGGTAATGCAAGGTTTATTATTCCCATTTTATTAATGATGAAACAGAGCATCAGAGAGGCTCCATGATTTTTCTGGGGTAGTAATGCTATATAGGTAATAAATGTAGGAACTAGCACTCAAGCTAATCTCAGTAAAAATTAATTTTTCAGGAATCGGAAGTTAGCTATCCTTTAATTTCATACCAAACTGGTTCTACTCACATTGTTGTGCCAGTGCTCCGACGTTTGATCTCAATCCCAAAAGGATTGCTCTTTATGAAAACGTCATAAAGCCGATTCTCAGAGGTGTCAGAGGGAGAGCTAGGGATGTTGAGGGGCACTGGGACCTCATACCTTTTGCTATTGGCATCATAGATCTAAAGTGAGAAAACATATTGTTCTAGCTTGAAGAAAAGACTGTTGGTCAAAGTCATTAAATCCTAAAATCTTAGAGTCATGGACCTGATTCATGAAACATGAAGAAGAAATTTACCTTAAACTGCAGCATATCATTCTTATGGTAGGTGACATTCAAACGGAGAGGATTCACGGGGGTAGAGGGCAGGCTGGGAGGATAGAGAGCTGAATCTAAGAAGAGATCAGCAGTAATGCCCGTTGGGTTGTACTGAATGTTACTGACAGAGTAGAAGAAATTGGTGACATAGCAGCTAGGAACTCCTGGAGAACTGGGCAACTGAAAAACAAGGCCAGGGTCAGATAAGGATGAATACTTGCACAGACTGAAATTTGGCTGGTTATTTATTTCTCCATAATTATCATTTGGTAACAATGCAAATTTATATCTTCCTACAACAAAAAGATTTACTAAGATATTCAAGGCCCCTAACCCAAACCCTATTGATTCCTTCTTTTTTGAGTCCCCATTAATGATTGGGGGCATGTGGTTGGTAAATCTAACCTTAGGATCATTGTAATCTTGTATCATCAAGGTTTCTTTGTCATTTATAATTATTATGCCTATTACCTCCCAGGCACAGCCACGAGCTTTGCAGTTTTCTTCAGAGACTGCCTGGTCCTCAGGATAACAGTCTATTTTGTCTACATCTCTGAATTTGAAACTCCATTCCACAGTGTATTCTCCTCCCAAGGAAAGTTCAAGCCCTGAGATGATGGCAACCTATGAAGAAATCAGGAGAGTGACCAAGAATGTCACACTTATTAGCCAAAGCCATTGTCAAGGTTCTTTCCTCTTTAAATCACTTTCTGTAGTGAGGTTCCCTTAAATGCCCCTCAAAATCCAGGACAGATGTCACAGATGCCAGAACAAAGTCTAAAAATTCAGTTGATGCCTGATTGTGAAGACCTCATAAGAAAGATGGCACAGATGTCACTGTCTCCTGAAGACACTGTAGCTATGTCTTCCTACAAATCCAGTTCAAACCTTACAGCTATGAACTGGGTGAAAGGAAACAACTGGGGATTTATAAATGAGAAGAGGTATCTGTCAGCAGCAGCATGTAGCCTCTCTCAAGTGTAGCCTCCTTCTAATCACATTCGGTAGACATCTTTTTCAGTTCTAAAACCTCATCGACCTCACTTCAGCATTTGAAGCTAAACCATAAACGATAGGGATTGGAACTCAATGGGAAGAACTATTTTGGTTTTATCCTTCTTTAAATTCAATCTTCTCTCAATTTTTCAAATGCTACATTCTCTGGTCCTTCTCCTATTTCTCTGACCATTCCTTCTGTTTCCTTCGCTGTCTCCTTTTCATCTTCTTATTCCTGTGGTTCAATCTTTTCCTGAAGGTTCAGTCTTTAGCTTTCTGTTTTTTATGCCCTCAATACTGGAGAGTTAATAATATATTCTCACTTTTTCAAATATTTCTACACTAATGTTCAAATTTATACCTATAGTCCTGAGCTCTACCTCCTGTTTAATCTCATATTATCAGCTGACTAAGAACATTTCTATGCCTCTAAATTATCCTAAGTTTCAATGTATTAAAAACCTAATTTACCATGTTCTTCCCAGAAGAAAGCACCTTCCCCAATTTCTCCATTACTCTCAATGGCATCATGACTCCCATGGTCCCTCAGACTCAAAACTTCAGTGCCTTCTTTGACTCCTCACTTTTGTCTGCACTAATCAGTCTGCAACTGGTACTTCTTTCTCCAAAATTTCTTCTGGAATTGTTCCTTACTTCCCATTCTCACTACCCTATTACAAATCCCATTTAATAGCTGGTTACAATAACCTGACTCACCTCCTCCAGCTCCAGGTCTCTTCCCTCTTAATTCATCCTATGCTCTACTGCCAAATCAATAGTCCTAAATCGCTGGTTTTTATCATATCACATTCTTGTTTGAGAACCTTTTATTGCTTCCATTGCCTTATTGAATCAATTCCAATCCCGGAATCTAATGTCTTTCACAACCCTCCATACAAGTAGTTTTATCTCTCATTTTACGAATGAGGAAATTGACGATCAGAGAGTTCAAATGACTTGTCCAGTTATTTCACTTTACCTATTCAACCTTTTTTCCTGATCCTCTCCAAAAATGTTCTTTATGCAGGGCAGCATGGAACAAAGGAAAAATAGTCTGCATTTGAAGTTAGTGGACCTGAGTTCAAATCCCACGTACTACCTTTGTTTGTTTTGTTGTTTTTTCTTGTTTTGCTAGGCAATGGGGTTAAGTGACTTGCCCAGGGCTACACAGCTAGTAAGTATCTAAGGACAGATTGGAACTGAGGTCCTCCTGACTCCAGGATCAATGCTCTATCCATTGTGCCACATAGCTGCCCCCACTTACTGCCTTTGGCAAATCACTTTTATGAGCTTCAAGTTCTTGACTTGTAAAATGGTGGTTGGACTGATCTAAATGATCTAAAATCTTAGATACAAAGGCATCACCTTCTAATTTAGCGCTTAATGTAATCCTCTCCTCAGGTCTCTGCCAATACCTTTCATTTATGCTGCAGACCACATTCTGCCTAAACCTCTATTCTTCATCCCACAGTCACTCCCAAAACTGCACCGATTTGCATCTCCATCTTTGCGGATAGAGATGGGAAGAAGAAAGAGGGTACAAGGTTGAAGCTAACTGTGAATAGGCTATGTGGGTGGAGAAAGGAGCTGGATCTGTGATTTCACTGGCATAGGGAACTTACAGATGAAAAACTTCCCAATGCAGTTTGACATTTCTCTACGATGAACAGTCTTAGAGCGCTATGAACTAAATATCTTAGACTAATGCTCCTTCAAATTCCTTAAAATCCCTATCCCTTCCTGGTCCTAGTTACTTCTGTACTTTCTTTCTTTCTCATGAGCAAAGATACCCATTCCCCTAGTAGATCTCAAAGGTTCCAGTGCTTTAGGGGCCACACTGACTTGGCAAACTGAAGCATCACCAGTCTGAGCATATTTCAGGACCTGGGACCTCACATCAAAAAAGTGGTCCTTTACCTTTAGATTTTCAATGTAAGTGACATTAGGAGAAGATTCAATGAGAACATTATTCTTCTTCACACTGATGTTGGTAGGTTCCTCTGTCCCAAGGATTTTAATCTCCTTAAATGCTAAATTATTTGCATTAATGTCAGATTGATGCAAAACCTTCACATCCAAATGGTTCTAGAAAAGATTCAAAAAACAGACCTTATTATACATGCTGATCCTCAAGTATTTTAAATATTAAATCCCAGGATGGCTTTTCCTTGCTGCCACCCAAAATAAGTCTGTGTTGTCTCAAAGTACATTCAAGGAATGTAAACTTTCTTAATGTTTTCCAGAATGAAACAATTTCATTCATTCACTCATTCATTCATTCATTCATTCATTCATCCATTCATTCATTCACTCATCCCATTCCATTCCAATCCATTTATTCATCAGTTCTTTGCTTAAGTGTCTAATTTGCCTTTCTTTTTGCTAGGAGCCAGAGAAAACACAAAGATAAATAAGATAGCGACCTCAAGCTCTCAAGAAGTTTACCTTTAGTAGAGTATATCTGCTGTCAAAATTCATAATATATTTTCTAATATTAAAATGATTTTGGATCAAATATTCCTGAGGTCTATTAATTTCTTAAAATAATTTGATAACTGTATTTCAATATGATTGATTTCCTTTATAATCCTATAAATTTTGTTACATGCATTTAAAATCATTATTCTGAGAAGCTCATAGACTTTAGCAGACTGCAAAAAGAGGCCATGGAACAAAAAAGGTTAAGAATCTCTGATTTAATAAAAGGTCAAAGGATATTAACAGGCAATTTTTCAAATGAAGAAATCAAAACTATCTATAGTCATATGAAAAAATTCTCTAGATTAGAGAAATACAAATTAAATCAACTTTGAGATATTATCTCGCAGCTATCAGATTAGCTAAAATCATAGAAGGGGAAAATGATAAATGTTGAAGGGATATGGAAAAATTAGGACATTAATATACTGTTGGTAGAACTGTGAACTGATCCAATAATTTTGGAGAGCAATCTGGAATTATACCCAAAGAGTTATAAAACTGTGTATACCCTTTGACCTAGCAATACCACTATTAGGCCTGTTTCCCAACATGATCAGGGAAAAAGGAAAAGAACCTCTATGTTCTAAAATATTTACAGCATCTCTCTTTGTGTTGGCAAAGAACTGGAAACTGAGGGGATGCCCATCAATTGGGGAATAGCTAATCAAGTTGTGGTATATGGTTGTGATGGAATACTACCGTGCTATAAGAACTTTTGAGCTGGTTGATTTTAGAAAAACATGGAAAGACTTGCATGAAATAATGAAAAGTGAAGTAAGCAAAACCAAGAAAATACTGTACATAGTAACAGCAATATTGTTCAAAGAATAATTGTGAAAACCAAGTTACTCTGAGTGCTATAAATACTCAAATCAACTATAAAGGAACTATGAAGAAAGATGCTATCCACCTCCAGAGAAAGAAGTGGTAAACACTGATAAAGTACATATAGTATGGTTTTATATATATTTATAAATCTGCATCAAATGGTGGCCTTCTCTAGTGTGGGATGGTGAGGGAGAGAAGAAGACAGTTTGGAACTTAAACTGTAACAAAAAAAAAAAGGAGAAGAATTATTAGGAAGGAAAAAAAGAACCCCTGATCTATACTAACAGTCTTTTTCAGAATCACATGTTACATGTATACATATTAATGTTGTTATATATTAATATCAATATATATTACATATCATAAATTTGAGTATTGACCATCAATAAGTGCTGTGTAACAATAAGCACACAGAGACACATATGCACCTATGCACACATGCTCAGGTTCACACAAAGACCTACACATACACACATATATACCCATAGTCATAGAGCTGTTTTTTAAAAGTCACTCACTTGGGTGAACAAAAACTCATGCAAGATGTAGGCACCACTCTCTATAGTACCTGAAAGAGAGATAAATAATAGTCAGACTCTGGACATAGTAGAAATTTTGAATTATAGATAGAGAATTATCCATTCATGATGACACCTAGGAGAGCATAGATGGGATGAAAAATTCATTGTCCTTAAAGCCCCAGGCCCTAGACACTAAGCCACTGAGTCCAGGGCTTTAGGACTATGTTATTCTTTCCAAAGATCCCCTTCCACTTTCACCTTCACCTTGAAAGGTTAAACATAAAAATTTCCTCTCAAGTGTCCCCCATGGAGATACCCCAAGAATTTAATCTAGAATGAAAATATTGGGTGCATCAATCCCAACATTAGATGTTCCAGGGTTATATAAATCTTTAAAAAAATATATCAGCTTATGTGTGCACTCACCACACAGATGTACTTTTAATGAATGACTGTGCTCACACTACCAGCAATATTTGGCTATGAACAAGTTTGGGCTCATCTTTGATGTTATTAATGTGGGTACTCCCTTCAATATGCATATTTCAATCCATCCATGTCTACCTATTCTTTGCAGTTCTTGTCTATATTCTCCTGTGAGTCTACTGCAGGAGGTCAACCCAACATACCAAGGACCTTTCTCATATTCTCTTGACAATTCTCTTTCACTCTATGAGTAGCCATCTTTTTCCCTCTATCGTTTTTTTTTTACTGGTCAAGGACTTCTCTGATAAGATGAAAGGAATTTCTGGGTGCATGTCTACAACTAATTTCAGTGGAAATTTTGCAGATATTTCCACAAGTAGTCTGTGAATTATTGGATGAAAACTGATAGCAAGAGGAAAGATGTTAAAGGGATTGAAGAGTTTGCCTTAACACCTACTGGGAAGTTTCTGCTGTCTTCTCCATTATTACATTTAAAAACTGAGATAAACAGAAAGATAAGGTTCTGAGAATGATCAATTTATGTTAGACTAGCAATAAGTAATAAATGAATCAACAGCCTCGCTCAATGACCAAAAGACCACGTGGTAGGGCTTACTAGCCTTCGTACAGTTTAGGTAAATGTAAGAGAACCAAGAGTATAGTTGGGTAGGTGGGGAAGACAACACAATTGCTTATAGGGTACACAGCATCATGGGGGTAGGGACAATGTGACTGGTTACATCAAGGAAAGTGGGGTTAGTGACCATTTCCCTTCGTCATTAAGGAATGGTGATGAATTTTTGGGATCCATCTGCATGTTGCAGACCTTGTTCATGGATATGAGTTAGCAGACTCCCTGGTGCCTAGAAAGGTTTATTAGGGAGACAAGACCTTCCTTAAATTGTGCAAGGACAATGCAGGGACAATCTCTTAGAGTTAGCTTCAAGACTTAAAGGTAATAACAGATGTCTTGTTATTTACCCAACAGCTAATGGTAAAGAAGAATGACAATCCTTTCTTTTAATTACAGTGACTTATGGTCAGACTGACATTTATACTCACTCAGAGGGGAAAGCTACATTCCTGCACTTAACTAAAGGGTATAGATAGGGAACTTAAGCAGATACAGAATCTATTACAATATGAAATCAATACAATATAGAATCAATTACAAAGTAGAATTAGTTTGAATTTCTCACCCTCCTCCCCTCAGGATCCCATTCTTACAACATAAACCACTCATTCTTAAATGGTGATCATTAACTTTCTTAAAGAACTAAATGCCTGGAAAAGATTCTCACTCCAGTTTAGAGACCATAGGAGACTAATGGAGTTCACAGAACAAGACTATAGGTTTGGAGAGACACATCCTGGCCTGTGACTCTGTCATAGTCCAGGGAAGTGCTTACCTTTAGTTTCTCCATCATCCCAAAAAAGTTCTCCTCTAGCTTTCTTATTGTCATCGAGGGCAATGATAAGACCAAGAGGATTCTTTCGGCTGCAGAAAGGAAGATCAAGTTGAAGGACTAAATCTTGCTCTAATAAAGACTGGCACATTATCTGAGAATAACACCATCAGAAATTTTTCTCCACAAGTAACAAAAGTCGTTAGCACTAGGCAATCTGGTTTTTGCTGTAGTACAGTGGAAAGAGGGCTGAATTCACAGTTGGAAGTACTGATTTCCAATCCTGGTTCTGCCACCTGCTGTTTGACCTTAGACAAGTCCCTTAATCTCTCTGAGACTGTTCCTCAGCTGCAAAATGGGAATTATACTTGTACTACCTACCTTAAAGAGAGCTATGGGGAAAGTTCTCAGTAAACCTCAAAAGTTCTAGATACAGGAGGAAACTAACAGGCCATTTAGTCCAACACCCTCATTTTATAGATGAGGAAACTGAGGCTCTAAAAGATTAAGTGATTTGCAAAGGTCACACAAGTAAACAGGAAAGATGGGATTTGAACCTAGATCTTCTTACTCCAGAATTAATTTTCATACCAAGCTACCTCCTACAGCTATAGAATTATGAATTGTAACCCCTTTCCTTGATATAGAAAATATCAAAAAGCCTCCCATTGCAATTAATCCAGCTACTCAAGTCACTGTCAAGAACAAAAATTGAACATCAGCTAATAGAGAATTCATTAGATGTATGTATACATGTGTGGTTTATTTTAAAATAAGAAATCAAATTTTATTTTTCCTCTAGTTAGATTTGTGATCTCTAAGTCATTGTTGTTATATTTGGGATTTCAAAGGGAATAGAGAAAGTTATCAGAGAGGAGATGGTCAAATATTTTCCTAATTTTGATAAAGGAGAAGAAGCTATATTCTGGAAATTGTGGATCAGAAAAAAATGATGCTCATTCCTGGCCATATTTCAAAACTAATTCTTTACAGTAACTCCTGAGCCGTTCATTTACTTCCCATGTCTTTTTAATTCTTCCAAGTCATGGCCATTAGTTTAAAAAGATGAAAATACCAATGGGCAGAGCCAAGACTGTGAGTGAAAGCAGTGACGTGCTTGAGCTCTCCCCCAAACCCTGCCAAATACCTGTAAAAAATGGCTCTAAACAAATTCTAAAGCAGCAGAACCCACAAAAAGACAGAGCCAAACAAATTTCCAGCCCAAGATAACCTGGATGGTTGATCAGAAAGGTGTATCGTGCTGGGCGGGGAGAGGAGCACAGTTCGGCCTGGGCGTGCAGGCCGCAGCGACCCTGGAGCAGAACTCAGAGGACTAAATCACAGGCAGCTGTGGTGGTTTCCAGACTTCTCAACCCACGAATGCCAAAGACAACTTAGAAGGTCAATGGGAAAAGTCTGTGACTGCAGTGAGAGAAGGAGCTAGGTCTCAGCCGCAAGTCCTGAGCACGGCCTCTGGGGCAGCGGCTGCCTCCTGAGCTGCCAGCCCACAGACTGAGGGGAAATCGAGTGGCTGATCAGAGGGAGATTGTAGGGATCTCTTTGCCAGTGCTGAGGCAGGAATCTCTTGCTTTGCCAGTGCTTGGATCTGGGTCACAGTTCTGAGGGGTCGTCCTGGGGCAAGGTGGAGCACTGGCTTGGTGGAGCTTGTTGTGGCAGTGGAGAGGAAATACCTTGACCCTTATCATACCATCCTGGAAGAACTGAAAATTTACAGGTCCCTAGAACTATCTCTGAAAACAGCCTTACAAATCCCTGAAGCTTGGGACAGTACATTCTCCACATTGGAAGCAGCCTCTTACCTTAACAAAGAGTTTAAAACTCAAGTAATTGGCTGGGACCATGAGTAAGCAGCGCAAAAAGAGTCAGACTATATTATCTTACTTTGGTGACAAAGAAGATCAAAACATACAACCAGAAGAAGACAACAAAGTCAAAGCTCCTACATCCAAAGCCTCCAAGAAAAATATGAATCAGTCCCAGGCCTTGGAAGAGCTCAAAAGGGATTTTGAGAAGCAGTTAAGAGAAGCAGAGGAAAAACTGGGAAGAGAAATGAGAGTGATGCAAGAAAATCATGAAAAACAAGTCAACAGCTTGCTAAAGGAGACCTAAAAAAATACTGAAGAAAATAACACCTTAAAAAACAGCCTAACCCAAATGGCAAAAGAGGTGCAAAAAGCCAATGAGGAGAATGCCCTAAAAGGCCAAATTGGACAAATGGAAAAGGAAGTCCAAAAGATTACTGAAGAAAATACTTCCTTAAAAATTAGAATAGAGCAATTGGAAGCTAGTGACTTTATGAGAAATCAAGACATTGTAAAACAAATCCAAAAGAATGAAAAATTAGAAAACAATGTGAAATATCTCATTGGAAAAACAACTGAACTGGAAAATAGATCCAGGAGAAAGAATTTAAAAATTATCAGACTATCTGAAAGCCATGATCAAAAAAAGAGCCTAGACATCATCTTTCAAGAAATTATCCAGGAAAACTACCCTGATATTTTAGAACCAGAGGGCAAAATAGAAATTGAAAGAACCCACTGATCTCCTCCTGAAAGAGATCCCCAAAGGAAAACTCCTAGGAATATTGTAGCCAAATTCCAGAGTTGCCAGGTCAAGGAAAAAAATATTACAAGCAGCCAGAAAGAAACAATTCAAGCATTGTGGAAACACAATCAGGGTAACACGAGATTTAGCAGCTTCTACATTAAGGGACCGCAGGGCATGGAGTATAATATTCCGGAGGGCAAAGGAGATAGGATTACAACCAAGAATCACCTACCTAGCAAAAAGATGAAAATACCAACTGTACCACACCCCAAATCCTTCCATTTCTTATCCAAAACAAAGTCTCTTGAAAGATATTCCAGAGTTCTGCATACTGTTTCATTTGTAACTACACATATCAGCAGAAATGGTATCAACTGTCTAGTGAAGGCTTTCAGGGTCTTCTTGCTCTTAGATTCATGCCCAAGAAGAGAATCCATCAGATTTGCTTTGTTAGGTTTATACTTCTCTTGTGCCTCCCAGTATACCAATGATATCTCTTTCTTTGTGGAATAGTAATAGGATCTCTCTATTTCTTCCTTTAGGAAACAGTAATAGGATTTCTCCTTTTTCCCTGGACCATGAGAACAGTGCTGCTCCTTCAAAATGTTGAGAATTAGCCACCAAAATAACTTTACACTTGGCATATAGTTCCAAGGGCCCAGAAGCTCTTCTCTCTGGTTTTCTTCACATTTTCAATCTACCCACCTCTTCATAATGCCTTTCCTCCAGCTCCTCAAAATGATTTTCCTTTTGACTTCTTTCCTGGAGCACCCCCCCCCTTTCCCTCCTCCCATCCTCTGTAAGAACCTTTCACCCTCTTCAATAGACTAAAATATGGAAAGTTGTTCCTCAAGCTTTTTTTCTTGCTCTAGTCAGAAGACCACCTTAAACTCACAACAGATATAAATAGGTTAACTCAGCCAGAAGAGGAATTCTAACAGTCCCTTTTGTTCTCATTTGTAAGACCTCTAGCTGACCCAGGAGTCCTTCTTGGTTTCCTTAGTAAACTTGACTTTTGTCTTGACACTGGAATTTGATGACAATGGAGGGGAGAGTGAGGCTAATGACTTTTTGGAAGCTCTACCACACTTAAATCACCCTCATAATGTCCTCGGTCCTCTTCTGGAACAAAAGACAAACAATAAACAAACAAAACAAAACTTCCCTAGTAACCTCATTTTTTTGTGATGATTCTGGATCATAAATGTGTCTGTAAAGGTTGTTCTAAATTTATTGCAAAGCATCCCTCCTCTTCTGTCAACCTGCTACTGTGGGTAGCAGTTAGCAACATGTAAACTATATTTTTTAGAACATCCATGCTTACGTGTGACTTATTGTGACAGTCACAAGTAGTATATGTGTTATTCTACAATATTCTGCTTACCTGTTCCCCCTTATTTCTATACCTGTCTCCAAGTGTTCCTAGATCCAGAAAGGCTATATTTTTAGCTTCAACATGAGACAACTATATTTATAATCTATCATTTATATACACCACGATATATACACATATGTGTGTACATAAATACACTCCTATTGTTTATACTGTTATTGGTTAATGTAACCATTTGGCCTATGCATTATTGTGATTTTAGAATCACCCTCAGGCTGTTTCCCAGTTCTCCTTGCAAATTATTCCTTACTATTTCAATCATAAGGACATAGCTCCAATAAATCTCCACCACAGTATTACTGTTCTATGGTTTTCAGAACTATCAGACCACACTTAACACAAAAATAGAAAAGCTCATATAATCACAGTTGGTAGATATATTTAACTAACCCATGGCTCTTGACAGCCATAAATGCTTATCTGCCTGTAGTGCCATACTTATTCAAGATAATTAAGCATCAAAGGACCCCACAAACCACAAGAATGTCATGTGATAAGGACAGTGGCAGGGAGCCCAATCTAAAGCACCAATAGTGATGAAAAAACATACTGAGAGTTGATCACATAAATTCATTTGTTGACATTCTTTGGGAGAGAAAAAAATAATTCTCTAGACTAAAGTAAATAGGTAGACTTGTTAAAATCTGTAATAAAAATATATTTATTCTTTTTTCAAACTAAAGTTGGAAAGCAAAGTAATTCATAAAAATCATTTTTTCCTCATTTTCAAGAATGGGGGAAAAATGATACCTTCCTGAGGGTACTTCATCTAACAGGAAAAAAAGGAATATTGGTTTCCATGGAGTAATACTGTCACCTTGAGGATTTTTAGGATATTGCCACTAAAGACTTTTTAAAACTTCTATCTGACTGATTACTGCATTTCTTCCTTTTGATCTATGCTGTATATCACTTCTAGATCAATCTTCTTTGAACATGACTATCAAGTCACACTTCATCACTCAAAAATTTTCAATGGCTCCCTGCTTCCTTCATTTGCCATACTTGAAATTTCAAGGCCCTCTTTCCTCAAATTCCAAATTAGCTCTCCAACCTATCCCCAACACACCTCTATCACCTAGACTGGCTTAACTCTCCTACCAGGACTTGAATGTCCTAATTCACTGCTCACTACACTATATAATAGCATCTTCTATAAGACTTGTGGACAGCAAGATGGCACAGTGAATAGAGTGTCAGGCCTGTAGTCAGAAAGATTCCTCTTCCCAGTTCAAATCTGGCCTCAGGCTCTTACTAGCTGTGTAACCCCGGGCAAGTCACTTCACCCTGTTTTCTTCAGCTTCTTCATCTGTAAAATGAGCTGGAGAAGGAACTGACTATCTACTCCAGTATTTTTGCCAAGAAAATCCCAAACGGGGTCACAAAGAGTTGGACACAATCAAAAAATAACAATAAAAATAAGAGTTGTAATTAGTGATTAGGAAGCTCAAAGATAAGAAAGGATAGGTCATAGGAGCATAGGATCATAGAACTTGATATGTAAAGACTGATGACTTAATTAAGACAGAAAATAGAACCATGGCTTTAGAGGTGGGTATTTTAGAGATCATCTTGTCAAATCCCATTCATCTTACAGAATAAGAAACTGAGGCTTATAGAGATTAATTGACTGGTACACAGTTAGTAAATGGCTAACCTATGGGCAGATCCTTTGACCGCAAGTCAAGCATTCTTTCTATGTGCCACACACAGAACTCCAAAAACATGCTATTGGGTGAAGTACCAAGCCAATAATTTTCTCAGAAAGAACTAATATTGAAAGTTAAGACTGAATGACAAATCTGTTGATTAGTCCCTTCCCTCCACTCATTGGGATGAAGGAGCCACAATGCCCTTTTCAAGGTGATTTACACAACTATGCAAGGAAATGGCCAGCCAAAAACCAACCCTGGAAATGAGACTTAGCCTTGAACATAGTACCTGGCTACTGTGGTGATGGCTGGCTGCTGCGTGGGGAAAATATATCCCCCTCGAAGATGGAGTCCAATTTTGTCTGGTGGGAGTAACATCTCAACATTTTCTTTTCTCCACGATGTTTGGTTACCCTGATTGGTACAGAAGCAAGAGTAGGTTGCATTAGGAATTGAGTCACCTGTCAGTTACCTGCTTTGTAAATTATCCATGCTACACTCCCTATCCTTCTTCCATTCAGTTGAGTCTCAGGCTTTGGCATAAAGACTACAATGCCAGTATCACTTTGTTATCATAACAGTATTGTGGGTTTACACCATAGATAGATAGATAGATAGATAGATAGATAGATAGATAGATAGATAGATATAACATAAGGTATTGTGGATTTATACCATAATCAGAGAAGTTAGTATAATCTGAATACAAAAACAATTCCCAAAATCTATCTAATAGCCATAATATTTGTGCATAAAACATTGCTTCCTTCTCCCCCTTTTTTGCAAAGATGGGGGACTAAAGGTATGAAACACTGCATAAATACACTGTCAAATTTGGTTGAAATCAAGTTTTGGTGAACTGCTCTTTTTCTTCTTATTTTTTGTTTTAAGAAATGGATCTATGGGAAAAGGAGGAGAAAGGGATAGATTTGGAAATGTAGATGATGTAGAAGCAAAAGATCTAAGTTTTTCAAGATATTCCTCTTCTATTACTCTTAGTTTCTTAGCTGAAGCTCAATTTAATCATCATGAGAAGAGTTTAAAGTGTATAGTCACCAGGTCATCACTATCACTGGATTGTCTGCTCTAAGATCAAAGAGATACCATGCTTCTTCTGTCTCCCCTCACGTCCCCAGGCTTCACTATGGAATCTCAGTGCAAACACAGTAGTGTATATTGTTTGATACAATTGGTCTGCTGGGTTTTGATGAACCATCCCCCCCCCCTTATTTGTTGTCATAAAAAATGTCTTGCTAGGTAGGTGAGATATATAATCAAAACTAAAGGTGATATAAAACCAAAGGATTCACATTTTTTAAAAGAAAAAATAACACTAGGAGATATCTCAAGGGCAGAGTTGGCTAAATTTCTCTCACAGTTACATTCTCCTATCCCTGCCCCTACCCCTATCTCCCAGGAAGAACTTTTTAAGAAATTGCATTCACCGGGGAATCTGAATAATCAGATCTACTTACAGTTTCATAGTCATACCAGATAGCATCAGGCATATATGCTGTCACGTTCCTAGCCCCCTGAAAGGAAAGCAAAGCCAAGCATTACCTTTCATGTCCCTGAGATGAAAAACCTTCCCTAACACACTTCCCAACTGCCCTCTCCCTTTCACCCCATCCCCTACTGAAGCAGGAATGTTCTCTCCACTCAGTAATCCAAAGCATCTGCATGTAGATTCCCCCCTATATTAACGATAGAAGCAACTTCAGGGAAGAAACAAAGACAGTCCTCTGAAGGGTGAGTTTGAGAAAGTGGAAATCCCAAGCAAACTGAAGATTTGTCATCAGAATTTGGCTAAACAGGTATTTGTGAAATACTTAGCACATAGTGGGTGCTTAATAAATGTTTATTGATTGATTGATTGGTTCCCAGAAGAGCAGGGGGATGAGCTGAAGATAATATTGAGAACTTATAAAAAAGCTTACCTCATCCAGAACAGGAGTGATGAGAAGTCCAGGCCCCCACAGAAACTGTCTATATACATCCCAAGTATAATTGTCATTATAGAACCTAAGAACCAGAGACAGGAGAGATAATTAATATCACTTGTTATTGCTAGTATTTCTCAAGGATCTGGGTTATTACGTGGCATCACAAGGAAGAAAAATGGGACCAACTCTAAGCAAAACATCAAAGTATATCTTTGGTACCCATTACTACCCTTTTCAGAGGTCCTATGTGCTCCCACTTCCTCCCCCAGTCTCCATCCCCTACTGCAGTACCTATCTAGGGCTAGGTTTCCTAGGAAGTGTCCCTTATTCTAAGGATCTTTTTGTTAGCATCCCCCCACCTCTCCAACTCACTTTCTTATCCCCACTAACCCATAAAAATTTTCAGCTGGCTGTTAGACCAAATAGATGTGGTTAAACTAATTCAAACACGACTTCAAGTATATAATTGATATCATATTGCTTGATTTCTCAATGGGTGGAGGAGGGACTGGAAGAAGGAATTAAAAATAAAAATTAAATGAAGTAAAAAATGAAATTAAAAATTTCAAAAAAATTTAAATGAATGTTAAAAATAAATAGATTTTTTTAAAAATGTCAATGATTGAGTCACCTTTCTCAAAGATATTTGAATTTTAATAAGGTAGATAAGATATGGTCCTATAGGTAGCAACACCTTAACTTAAAAGGAATAAATCTCTAGGGGTATAAAACAAGTTTCCAAATCAGACTGAAAAAGGAGAAGTTTTCAAGGGGGGGTGTCTTTCCTAACACACTTTATATTAAACTGTCTCCCCATGTGGGACCAGTGAAACCAGATAAAAAAGCACTGTTCAAGCATTCTACTGGCAAAGAAGTCATGGAGTATGTCTATACCATGGACAGTGTGATAATTTGCACGAAAGTGCCACCCTCATTCACATGGAATGTTGTTGTTCAATTGTTTTCCATTATGTCCAACTCTGTGTAATTCCATTTGAGGTTTTCTTGGCAGAGATATTGGAGTGGTTTGCCATTTCCTTCTCCAGCTTATTTTATAGATGAGGAAAGTAAGACAAACCGGGTAAAGTGACTTGCCCAAGGTCACACAGCTATTAAGTGTCTGAGGCCAGATTTGAACTCAGGGAGATGAGTCTTCCTGACTCAGGATCTGCATCCTTATCCACTGCCATACCTACAGGCATTTCATGGAATATTATCAGCCCAACCCACACAAGTGTGCCCATGTCACTGACTTGCTCAAAAATCCTTCTTTGGCTACAGGATAGAGTAGACTATCAATTCAGGCCCTCCCAATTAATAGTATGCCTATATGTTAGTCCAGTTAGGAAATTCCCGCTGAAATCCAATTTAAAAACCACTTAGTCAATGTAAAATTTGATGTATGTTTGAAAAAATAAAAAAGCTATATACAGTAGGCTCAATACTTCACATTCATCCTCTTTTATCTGTTTTCTATATCTAGAAATATAGTTTAATTTTGATGATGACTACCAAGTTCATAATATTCTATCCATCTATTTTGTACAAGAAATCACTTGGTAATCTCAGGAATTGCTTTCAGTTTTTACCTGAACATTTGGTACCATGTAGACCTGGTCAGAGCTAACAATGTTTTAACATATCAGAATTCAAAATGAAGATCAGGAAACTCACTCATGTAGAAGAGGCCGGGCTACAGTGTCCCCCCTAGTGTGAGCTCTGAAAAAGAGGGTATAGAGATATGGCAGCAGAGTATAACGGATGTTCAGATAGTGTCTGGAGGTATTCAAAAGAAGAGAATCTTCTCCAAATGCAGCAGGATCCTGGTCCTAGGAGTAAAAGGAGCAATATCTGTCATTACAGATCACAAAACATGAAAACGTCCACTGTATCTTCTGTGTGAAATACCAGTGTTCCACAACACTAGTCTTGAGCAAGCCTAGAACACAAGGGGAACCTACTGATGTTATGACCAATTATACTCCAAAAAAGAAAAGAAAAAGGTCGAAAAAATTAAGTAATTGACTTTAGTTAAAAAGAAGTTATTCTCTTACACTGCTATTTTTCACGCAACACACTCCATCTCTGGATTCCAGGCATTTTCAGCGGCTGTCCCCCATGCCTAGAATACTCTCTTTTCCTCTTTATATCAGACTCCTGGCTTCCTTCAAGTCCCAACCAAAATCTCATCTCATACAAGAAGCCTTTCCAGATTTCCCTTAATTCTAGTGCCTTTCCTCTATTTTTGTTCTTTTTTTTGGTAATTTTTTTATTTTAAACAAATGCAAAATAAGGAAAGAAAAAAGAAAAAACATGAAAACTAAAATAATACCATAATATAAAAGAAAAAAGGTAGTCATGTACACAGCAGAATGTGAGAGAGGATTCAAAATGTACAGCAATAAATTTCCATTTCAAGAAAGCCTATATAATAAATACTATGCATTGTATTGGGAGCTCTCCATCTTTTCTTTGCTTTCTTTTAAGTTTTCTTTTGTTCTCTTCTGTGCACTTTTTACTTTGTTCTTTTTTCCCCCTTCCTCCTCCCACTCCAGAAGGCTACAATTAAATGTCAAGATATATGTATGCATGCATGCATGTGTGTATGTATGTATATATTTACACACAAACATATGCATATAGACATAGACATATACACACAAAGATATACACATATACATAAAAACACATACATAATATGTATAATCAATAATCATAGTCATATATAGACATATACATTCATACACATCTACGTAAGACTGTACTATACTCATTTATTCTCTGTTTCTCTGAGGATGAATAACCTCTTCCTTCATAAGTCCAAATCTTTCCATATTTTTCCAAGTACCCCAACTCGTCATTTCCTACACCACAGCAATATTCCCACCTTATACTGTCTAGTTGTTTTAAATAGTCCCAAGATCATGATTAACACCACTGCTCCTTTTTCTCTAACAAATTCTACTCCTGATCTTTATTTTATATTTGTGTGTATCTCTTATTTCCTATCTCTCCTGACTCCTCTACTTTACTTCTACCCTCTATCTTGCCCTCCTATTACTTAACTCCCTCCAAAGATCTCTCCCTTATCCTCCCAAGGATCCCTCCCTTATCCTCCCATTCTCATTAATCTAAACACCCTTCTATATCCCTTTAACCTATTCCCTCACCCTTCCCTCTAATGATTCCTCCCTTATCCTCTCCCACCTCTTATCCCCTTAGTATTTTCTTTCTGAATTTAGAAAACTTCTATATTCTTATATATATGTATATATGTATGTATTGTTCACTCTTGAACCCATTTCCAATGAGAGTAGGGTTCCAGAACTAACAGCCCTCCTCCCCCATCTAATTCCTCTGTGTCAGTTCTTCCTCTCACACCTCATTTGTATAAGATCTTTACTCTTTTTAGCTGTTCCTTGACCATATTATCTTTTAGAATCACATAATACTCAGCTCTACCCGATTCTTTCTTATGAACCACCTCTATTATTACTCTTCAGTTGTATCAGTCACGTCTGACTCTTTATGGCCCCATTTGGTGTTTTCTTGGCAAAGATATTGGAATGGTTTGCCATTTCCTTCTGCAGTTCATTTTACATATGAGGAAACTGAGGCAAACAAGGTTAAGTGTCTTGCTTAGGTCACATGGCTAGTAAGTATCACAGGCCAGATTTGAACTCAGATCTTCCTGACAACAGGGCCAGTACTCTGTCTACTGTGCCACCCAGCTTCCCCCTTCCCTCTATCGGTTATCTCTAATTTATTCTGCACACAGTTGTTTTCTTATTGTCTCCCCCTCCTTAGACTTAAAGCTCCTTGATAGCAGGTACTGTTTTCTGCCTTTGTATCCCCAGTGCCTGGCACATAGTAGGTGCTTAATAATATTTATTGTCCAACTTTCCCTCCTCCTCTATTGTCTCCTTTTTTTGTTTTGTTTTATTCAGTTTCTCCCTGTTTGAGTACATTGCCTTTTCATAGGATCCCAAAAACTATAGCTGGATGGCGCCAAGGAAATCATTATCGAGTCAAATCCTCTCATTTTACAGATTAGTGACTTGCCCACCCTCTTCCTATCCTTGTGCCTTTGATCAAGAAGAGAACACCCATTGCTTCAAATTCTTCATCACCCATTCGCTTTTCAGCTTCCTGATATTTCATTTCTAGCTTCACTTCTATCCCCAAACTGCCCTCTCCAAAGGCTCCAAGGACCAAACCAATGACCTTTCTCAGTCTTCATTCTCTTGCAGCAATTGTCATTGACATATTGAAGCAGATGCTATGTTACAGGAGGCATTTCTGAATGAGGTAGGAGATGCAGCTAAATGACCTTTACAGGACCAACTCTGAAATTCTATGGTTGAATTTCTTAATTCCGTTAGAAATGGAATTAGAACAATGGCAAGAAATAAAACTAGTAATAAAGCCAATTTATCCACTCATGAATTAGTAATAATTGCTATGGACTTTAAGATTTTCAAAGTATTTTATAGATATTATCTGGGAAAATCATTTTGGTGGCTGTGTGGTGAAATGCTGGTGGTGGTGGTGGTGGTGGTAAATTTGAGGAAAGGAGACCTTTTAGGAGACTATTATAATAGTCCAGATGAGATCTGCTAGGAGCCTAAAGTAAGGTTGTGGCAATGTGAGTAGAGAAAAGATGGATATGAGAGATGATGTAGAGTTAGAAACAAGATTTGCTTGAACATGTTGGGGTGAATGAGTGAAGAATGGAGGATAACACTAAGGTCGTAAGCAGGGTGACTAAAAGGATGAAAATATCTTTGACAGAAATAGGAAAATTTGGAAGAAGAGGAAAGAAAATGGAATAAGCATTTCTATAGCATCTACTATGTGTCAGGCACTAAGTGCTTTACAATATCTCATTTGAACCTCACAACAACCCTGAGAGATAGGTGTTATCATTATCCCTGTTTTTACTTGAGGAAAATGAGTCATACGTCTACAGGTTAAGTGATTGCTCAGGGCCCCACAGCTAGGAAGTATCTGAGGCCAGATTTTAATTCAGGACTTCCTGACTCCAGGTCCCAGGCTCTATCGACTGGAGCCTGATAGGGACTACTCTAAACCTGTCTATAGGGTCATTTTCTTTTTTAAGTTAGCCCAAATGTAAGAGATCATTGAGGAGCGTCAGTGAACAAACACCATGGTGGGGAAATTAGACTTTCCTAATTAATCCCAAATTCTCTTGATAATACTCTTGAAAAGTTTACCTTATACCCTTGACCATTGTGATTCCTTGAAAATGGATAAAATGCCCCAAGCTGCATCCACCGCCTGCATAGTTCTTCTGAGGCATCATTAGCATAACCACAGATGTCAGGGCCCACCTGGAATCATGACAAATTATGGACATAGGTCTTTTTTTGTGCATAAGTTTTTTGTTTTGCTTTTGATTTTTTTTTTAGCATTGTCACCACATTTTTATCATCTTGTTCCTGCCTAACGGTGATCCCTGTGATGTAAGCATATTTTACTCATAGTATTTCTTTCCTGACTCCCATTATGATATAAAGATGACATCTCAGCACTTGAACTTTGCTAGACTCCTTCTAGAAAGCAACTCAGACTAGAAATAAAGAAAGATTTTGGCCAATATTGATCACGATGAAATATTTCTTCCCAGTAGAGAAGCTTGGGGCTTTCTAGACGTGATGCTCTCTATAGTCTATGCGTGGTAGAAAGGTGGAAGTGAGGGCTTACCATAGGGATACCAAACAGGTTGAACTCAAGCATGCCAGGTATAGACCAACGAAGGTCATTCCACGTGGCTGCGTTGTCCCCCAGCCAATGAGCTGCAAATTTGCCCGACCCAGCAAAAGTTGAGCGTGTCACAATAAAGCTTCTTTTATTAGGGAAGACTGTTTTTACAGCCCTGCAAGGAAAAATGAAGAGATAGGCAGTTGAACAGTTTTGCTCACCTTCAGGGATTGATTCTGATTTTATTAATTTCAATTAATTTCAAAAACAAAAACTCCACAGGCCTACATAAACACAAGAATAAATTTTTGGTTTCATCCAGGCATATGATTTCATTGTTTTAAAGAATCTTCAGTGAAGAAACTTCCTCTGCAAAGCAGATTGGCAACTGATCTATAACTTCACATTTTAGAGAACTGTCTATGGCACCAAATGGTTAAGGGACTTGTTGTTAAATCATTTTTCAGTTGTGTCCAAGTCTTTGTTGACCCCATTTGGAGTGGTTTGCCATTTCCTTTTGTAGCTCACTTTACAGACGACAAAACTGAGGCAAACAGGGTTAATTGACTTGCCCAGGGTCACACAGCTAGTAAGTGACTGAAGTCAGATTTGAACACAAGAAGATGAGTCTTCCTGATTCTAGGCCCAATGCTCTGTGCACTACAGCACTACCTAACTGCTCTTTTAAAGGACTTCCCCAGGGTCATATGAAAGGAAAGAAGGAACCAAACTAAAGTCTCCAGAATTACATTGCTAATATCTGAGGTCAGATTTGAACTCAGGTCTTCCTGACCCCAGACCCAGAATTCTATCTCCTGTGCCACCTCAATGCCTCACTTTTCAGCCACAGGGCTAGCATGTGTCAAAATTCATTTCGACTCTGAAACCACCTCTGTAGCAATTATAATTTGCTGCCTCTCAGAGATAGAAACAGAAATAGAGGTCAGAGTTCAGAGTTAGCGCCAGAAACAAGAATCTTATATGGAATATTGTTTTAAAGAAATAGGCCACCGGGTAGGATCTAGAAATGATTTTGGCAAATAGGAATTTTGCTTGTAATGACATCAGTTATATGAACCACATAAGATATACTGTCTATGCTCCCATTGGTTTTATATAGACCCCAGACATAGTCCTTGAATTCCTGTGGCTTATGACCTTAGGAAACAGAAGAGATTTTTGAATGACTAAATATTAAATACTCATTCTGAGTGAATGAAATACTCAAAGGATTAGGAGAAAGAATGTCTTCAACTGGGCCTTATCATCTATTCCCAAGATTCACACAGGGAGACAGAACATTGCTACTGATAACACTCACTTCTCTGACTCATTTCCATGTTGTTGGGAGTTTTAGGGAAAAGAAAAGGACAAATGTGGGGACCGTTTTCTTTAGTGCAGGATTTCGTGCAATTGATTCATTTCCAAAGTTTGAAGAATTTTTCAGGGCCTTGAGCCTAAGCTAGTGCCACAAGGACCTTGGACAAAGTGAACCAAGGTGACCTTCTCTGAGTCACCAGTTCTATCTCATTGCCCTCTTCAAAGACTTGATTAAAAAGTGAAACAAAATAAAAAACCCTGCTTGAAAAAATTATTTCCAAATCCTGGCTGATTTCCTATTTCTTTAAAACAACATTTTGCCCAAGATTCTTGTCCTTCACCACTGGTTGCCATGGGATCTGACCTGCACAACAGTCATACCACTGAGATGCCAGAGGACCAGAACTATGGGTCTTGGTGGCCTTTTAAAATTCCGCTCCTTGATGATGCTCTTTCCCCTAGGTCTATCTTGACTGTTATATTTATTCAAACTGAATGTTCAATCATTTAGAAAGTCACTGACAAGGGGCCAGATCAAAGGTTATTTACAATTTAAATAATTCAGTACCAAATGGGGAAATAATTTATCATAGAAGAGGAAATGATAAGAGAAAGAGATCAAAGATTAGTGATAAGGAGCAGTTTTCCAGTAGAAATGTTTCTTTATCCTTAACCTTAGCTCCCTCTCTCTAACCATCCATGCCCTTCTTGATGCAAAACATTCCTCCATTCCATAACAAATTATTAAAATTAATGAATACTTAGCGTATATTAGGTTCTTAACATTTTTCCCTTTTTTCCAACAGCTCCTCTGCCCCTCAAATTGTATTGCTAAAAAAATGGAAGTCTTCTGCTCTCCATACACCCCAAGTCTCTGGTGCCACACACTACAGATGAGGGCACATTAACAAACAACTGTAAGCTGAAACCACAGATGTTTTGATGAACACAATTTGGTGAATGCTGCTCTTACTCTTCTGTTGCAATTGCCATGGAGTAGCCATACAGATTGTGGACATCATAGTGTTTGCCCCAGTGCTGAACTGCATCCATGCAAAGGGTCTTGGCAGGCAGAAAGTGGTCTAGTATTCCTAAGGGGGAAAAATGAAGCAATTGACGAAAGTCTAGGTCGTTGTGACATTGGTCAGTTTCCAAACCATAATAAAAAATTCAAATCCTCAGGAAAGTTTGTGCTATATAATTTTAAAAGAATTTTTGTATTTGTAGCAAAAATAACACTGAGTTTAGAGTCATAAGAGGTGAGTTTCTCTGAGTCTCACCTTTGGTATTTAATGTCATAGATCATAGGATTACAGAGTTTAAAGTTGGAAAAGACCCTAGAGACCAGCCAATCTAATCCACTAATAATTCAGATGAAGAAAATGAGGCCAGAGGAGTTAAATGATGTGCCCAGGACACATACCTTGGATAAATTACCTAATCTTTCTGATGCTCAGTATCTTTATCCATAAACTGAGAGCAATAATACCTGCACTCCTCAGCCCACACAATGGTTGTAAGGATATAATGTATTGAATGTACACAAAGTTTTTCATAAGCAACAAAACAGCATAAAACTACGAGATGCTGTTAGTGTTATTATTATCATTATTACCCCAATATTATTTTTGCATATCTCTGCAGTAATGGAGAGCTACACTGAGACATCCACATTCTCCCACCTGGTACCACTTCTGTGTTTGTTGAATCAGGAGTCTAGGTTGGAGTTATAGTCTATGTTTGTGGGACTAAGCAAAACTAACTAGTCCCAGAAAGGAACCTATCATGTGATCAAGTGGCTCAGTATGTAAAGTGCTGTGTTTGGTGTCAGGAGGACCTGAGTTCAAATCCATCCTCAGACATTTATTAAGTGTATAACCCTGGACAAATCATGTATCCTCTGTCTGCCTCGTTTTCATCAACCGTAAAATCAGTATCATAATAGCACCACTTCTCAGGGTTTCTGTGAGAACCAAATGAGATAATATTTGTAAAATGCTTAGCACAATAACAAATACTTAATAAATACTTGTTCCCTTCTTCCCCCTCCAACCCCACTAGTCCAGCTTTATCCTTATTACAACCATTCTCATATCAATGAGAGTAGTGCAGTTCAAGGCATCTAGATGGCTCAGTGGAAAAAGCACTGGACCTGGAATCAGAAAGACCTGAGTTTAGATCTGGTCTCATTCGTTTACTAGCTGTGTGACCCTGGGCAAGTCATTTAACCTCTGTTTGCCTTAATCCACTGGAGAAAGAAATGGCAAACCACTCCAGTTTCTTAGCCAAGAATGAGTCAACACAACTGAACGACTGAGCAACAACAGTACAGTCACAGTCAGATAAATAAAAACTTGGAAAAAGCTTGAATTACCCATTGCATTGGTGATTTATAAGGCATCATACCTTCTCTAAATTATTATCTATCTGACTAGCATGTGTTATTGGAATTAGAGATAACTTTCTAGGCAAATGAAACAAGAGGGGTATAGCAGGAAATGTAGGTGGGGTAAAAACAAAAGATAGCAATAAAATTTTATTTGAAAAACAAATCTATACTAATTATTTGGCACTTTACATATGGTTCCCTGCACTGTAATTAGTCTTTTTATATCTGGGTTCTGCCTCCTATAAGAACAGTCACTATATCTTATACCTCTCTTTATATTCCCAGAACCCACCATGGCACCTCATACATAAGTGCTCAATTCAGCACTCCTGGATAATCTTTTAATTACCAAATCCAATGGCCTTTGCTCAGTATTCATCCGCCTTTGCCACAACAACTCTTCCTCATTGTTGTTATTATTTGTTAGTGAAGATGATAATGATAATAATAAAAATAATAGTAATAATAGCTAGCAAACTCACTACTCAGCTTTCTTGACATTACATTCTCCTAGGTCTTTTCTAGCTTCTCACTAACTGTTCATTTCTAGTATCTTCTTTGGTTCCATCTTCCCCATTCAGACTTCTAAATAGAGGCATTGACTAAAGTTCTGCCCTTGACCCTCTTTTCTGCTCTCTATACTTCTTTTCCTCAGCATCAGGAGTAGCAGAATAGGTTCTTGGCCTAAGTCAGACCTGGGTTCAAGTCTTGGTTGAAATGCTCATTTACTGTGTAACTTCAGACAAACCACTTCACCAACTTGGACCTTTTCTTGTTTGTAAAATAAGAAAGTCCCTTCTAGCTTTATTATCACTTTCACAGTTCAACTATCATCTCCATGTAGATAATGCCCAAGTCTATATCTCCACTAGTGACTTCTCTCCTGAGCTCCATTTCACATCTCCCACTGCTTGAAGGATAATTGCACCTGTAGGTCTGGCTATTACCTCAAATTCAATATATACAAAACTGAATCACCTTATCCTCCCAAGTCATATTCACCTTCTGGCTTCCCTGTTTCTCTGTAATCTCCCTTTCACTCATCTTCCTTGTTCTTCTCTATCCCCCTTATAATAATAACAATTAATAGTAGTAGCAGTAGTAGTAGAAGTAGCTAGTATTTATATAGCACTCTAAGATCTGCAAATTGCTTTGCAAGTATTATCTCATTTCATTCTCACAACAACCCTGAGAGGTAAATACTTTTATTATCCTCATTTTACAGAAGAGGCAACTGAGGCACAAAGCCATTAATTGACTTGTCTAGGGTCACATAGCTAGTTAAGTCTGAGGCCAGATTTGAACTCAAGTCTTTCTGCCTATCTCCCTTCTTTCCCCTTCAATCTATCTTATATATCATGAACAAATTCATTTTCCTAAAAATTTATTTTGAACATGTCACAGCCAGCTACAACAAAAATCAATGACTCCCCATTGTCTGAAGAATAAAACTCCAGAATGTTTAGCCTTACATTCAAGGCCCTATCTAATCATGCTCCGATAGTACTCAGTTTTCCTGATTAATTTCCCACAATTCTCCCGCATGACAGATTAACATGTAGATGGCCTATCACCTCTTTTTGGCTAGAGAGCATGATATATTGGCAAGAGTACTTGGTTTAGACTCAAAACATCTGGAGTTAGTCTGAATATCCATCACTCACTAATAGCTTTGGGTAAGTCACTTAACCTATCTGAGCCTCTGTTCCTTCATCTGTAAAATAGGCTCAAAAACATACTCCTACAACATACCTCTGACAAAACCGCTTTATAAATTATAAAATGTTATCTATGATAATGTTAGCTATGATAATAACAATGATTACAATCATCATCATTATTTTACAATTTAATTCTATGAGTTAGGGCTGCCTGCACCTAGCAAAGGATGAAAACTAGTCCATATTCTCCTTTCTTTGTACACATTTATGCCTGAATCCATTAAAAGAAGGGGTCCCCATCTGTCCTTGTACAATTTGGAATGACAAGCACATTTGGCTTATTAACAGCCAACATCCCACCCAAAGGACCAGCCGCATGACTTACTAGGAGTAAATGGGGGATAGTTCAGGTTACTATATAAGCATTCTGTAGATGAACCATCATCAAAGTTGGAGGGTTCGTTCATATCCTAGAGAGACAAAAATGGAGAAATATAAGGTACAAGGTGTGACTAGTGAAATCTCTATTTTGTGCTTATTTGCTTTTTTTTTTAAGAAATCAGAGAAATTACCCAGTTAAATTATACCCTTTAATTATGGCCTGTGGGTCTCATGGATCTAATGTGAAATGGATTTCCAACTACCCTCTCTACCTATCCAGGTAATGGCTTGCTTTGTTCTTCTGAACAAAACATCTGCTGTATTTTCCCTTCGTGCTGTTCAGTCATTTCAGTCACGTCTGACTTTTCATGACCCCTTTAGGGGTTTTCTTAACAAAGATACTGAAGTGGTTTCACCATTTCCTTCTCCAGCTCATTTTATAGATGAGGAAACTGAGGAAAATAGGGTTAAGTGACTAACACAGCTAGTAAGTGTCTAAGGCTCCTTCTCCCATTGGTGAGTTCTTGTCCATTTTGGGGAAAGGATCACAAACCAGCTTTTTCTTATTCTCCCTTAAGTATCTGCTCCCATGTAGATCCTTCTTTTCCTCCACTCCCTGCTCCATCCCTGACTTTTAGCTGGTCTTTTGCATACAGTCTTCCTCCATCAGAATGGGAGGTTCTTAAGGGCAGAAACCATCTTCTTTTTTTGCTTGTATTACCATCCCCAGTGCCTAGCACACGGTAAGTGCATAATAAATGCTTCTTTTTTTTAATCTTTTTTTTTCCTTTTTGAGGCAATTGGGGTTAAGTGACTTGCCCAGGGTCATACAGCTAGTAAGTGTCAAGTGTTTGGTCTGAGGCCAGATTTGAACTCAGGTCCTCCTGACTTCAGGGCCGGTGGTCTATCCACGGCACCACTTAGCTGCCCCTATAATAAATGCTTCTTGACGGACTGTTGCTCACATACAACATCCAATCCCCCATCTCCCATCTGTATTCTGTCCATTATGCCAGGAATGTACTCTCCTCTGCCTCTTAGAATACCTAGATTCCTTCAAAACTCAATCTCAAATATTTCCTTCTACATGAGGCTTTCCCTGATCTTCTCCACCAGGTTCTAATGCCTCCCCCTTAAATACCTTACATTTACTTAGTGTATATTCTATATGTATCTGCTTGTGCCCCCATTCTTTCACACAATAGAAAAATGAGCTCCTTGATGGCAGAATCTGGCTCATTTTTATCTCTGAACCTCCTGCATCCAGCAGAGTGGCACAATGGATAGAGGGTCAGGAGTCAGGAAGACCTAAGTTCAAATACAGCATTAGACACTTCCTAGCTGTGTCACCCTGGGTAAGTCACTTCACCCTGTTGGCCTTAGTTTCTTCATCTGTAAAATGAGCTGGAGAAGGAAATGGTAAACCACTCCAGTATCTTTGCCAAGAAAACCCCAAAAGGGGTCATAAAGAGTCAAACACTACTGAAAAACAACTAAACTTAAAAACTGTCTAGAACAGGGGGTCTAGCAACTCAGGGTTTAATAAAATACTGATTTTTGGTTCTCAGGGCTCTTCCAGTTCTGATTCTGCCTAAGCTATCAATCTCAACAACATTATTTGAATATTAAATTACTAAAAGATATGTAATCCACTCCTCCTTTCCACCTATCCTTTCCTCCTCTCTTCTCTACCATTTGAGATATAAGAATATAAAAGGGGAAAATATTTCAACATTCTGAACATTGGTTCCCCCAACAGCCCCCATCCTGATGACTCACAATCCAGATTCCATCAAACTTTATCTCATCGTAGAAAAGTCTGAATTCCTCTGCCCACCACTGGGCACACTTTGGGTTGGTATAGTCTGGAAAGACCGTCTTACCTGGCCATACCTGCAGCAGAGAAAGGAATTCGAGGACAATGAATAAAAACACATTGGAAAGAAACATAGCAGCACTCCAAAGACGTCTAGAGAAACTAAATGTTTGATTATACTCTTGTCTGGGCCCAAGCCCTCTTCAGGTTGGAGCACAAAGCACTCTACAGAACTTTTACAATATTATTTGGAAGTAGCTGAATAGCCCTACAAAACACATTTCACAGCAGAGGAAGGAAAGAAAAAAGTGGGTAGGTTTGCTGCACAAGTCAGACAAAGGAACTATTTCAGTATATAACAGCTGAATTAAATCAAATTTCCTCATACTTCAACACAGATTGTATAAAAGGGGACATTAAAAAAGGCATAATACCCTCAAAGGCATGGATTATTTCATGTTTATATTTTTATCTCTAGCACCCAACACAATATTTGGCACATAGTAGGTACTCATTTGTTGAATAATTAATTGATTGAGGACCACTAATAAGAATGATAAGACTCTCACCCAGAGATGCAGTACTAAGTTTTTCCAGTGTTCATTTAATAATTGATACTGATTTATTTCATGCATTAATGCTAGAAAAACCATTTATTCATTCCCTGTTGTCTCCCTATTATGTCCCATCCAGGAATAATAATAATAGCTAATAATTTACATAGCGCTTACGAGGTATCACACATTGTGCTAAGCACTTTACAATTACTATCTCATTTGATCCTCACGACAACCCTAAGATGTAGATACTATCATTACTCCCACTTTACAGATGAGGAAACTAAAGCAAATGCATGTTAAGTAACTTGCCCAAGGTCACACAGCTAGTAAGTAACAAGCTGAATCTGGACTCGCTTCTTCTTGACTGCAGGTCCAGCACTCTATCCATCGAGCCACCTAGTTGCCTCAAACCTTGTAAAATGCTTCTTACTTTTCCCAAACTCATCCTCTCAGCAAAAGACTTAATCTCTCACTTTCCAGAGCTGGTTGAGTATGAACAACTGGTGTGACTGTCCCTTGTACCTTTTCAACTCAAAATATCATTCAATAAATATTCACTAAGTGCCTATGGGAGGGCAGAGAGAGAGAACAAGCATTTATTAAGCACCTACTATGTGCCAGGCATTGTGCTAAGTGCTTTACAAATATTATCACATTTGATCCTTACAACAACTCTGGGAGATAGGTGCTATTATTATCTACAATTTTACAACTGAGGAAACTGAGGCAGAGGTTAAATGACTTTCCCAAGGTCATATAGCTAATAAGTATCTAAGGACAGATCTGAACTCAGGTATTTCTGACTTCAGGCCCAGCATTATATCCACTGTACTATGTAGCTGCCCCCAAGAGACACCATGCTAAGCACTATGTATACAAAAATGAAGGACATCACAGTCCCTGACCTCAAAGGGGATGGCCTATGCAAATGAACAATGGTGGAAGAATACAAGATGGAAACAAGAAAGAGTCCAATTTCTCAAGCACATGAAAAGGAGCAGAGTGAAATTAGGCTAGAAAGGAAAACTAGAGTCATGGTATGGATGGCCTTAAATACCAATCTAAAGAGATGCACTTTATCCTAAAGGCAATAGGAAAACTAGCTAATGTGTTTTGCCAGCAATGACATAATCAGGCTTCAACATTATGAAGACTACTTTGGCAGCTATGGGAAGGATGAATTGGAAAGCAAAGAGATTAAATTCACTAATCAATAAAAACTGCTCAGAAAACTGGAAAACAGTCTGGAAGAAATTAAGTTTTAACTAACATCTCATACTATGTACCAAGAAACTCCAGATGTAAAGACTTAGATGTAAAAAGTCACATCCTGTACAAATTAGAGGAGCAAGGAACGCAATATCTTTTGAACAATGACCAAACAAGGGATATAGAGGATCACAGAAGATGAAATGGGCAATTTCATAAGTGCTTAGCATAGTGCCAGATACATAGTAAGCACTTAATAAATGCCTAATCTTATCTTCCTTTCTTTTGTTTCCATACAATTAAAAAGCATTTTCTTCATCAATAATATCAATGCAATTTAAAATTAGAAGAGAGTTAAGTGGGAAGAAATCTATGCAGAAAATTTAAAGGTCTGATACCCAAGATATACAGAAAGTTGATTCAAATATATAAGAACAAGAGCCATTCCCCAATAAATAATCAAAAGATAGCATTGAAAAGTAAAAATCCAAGCTATCATTAGCCATATTAAAAAATGTTCCAATCACTAATAATAAGAGGAGTATATATTAAAGCAATTCTGGGGTTCTTATACTCATCATAAGGGCAAAAATCATTTAAAAAACAGGAAAATGACCACTATTGGAGGAGTGGAGCTGTGAATTCCAGAATAACCATTGTGGAAAATAATTTGGAACTATAACCAAAAAATCGCTAAAGGCTTTACCTCAAAGAAATCAAAGAAAGAAGAAAAGGATCTATATGTACAAAAATATGTATATAAACTCTATTTGTAGTAGACAAGGAACAATAAATTGAAGAGATGTTCGCCAATTGGTGAGTGACAACAAATTGTAATATATTAACATAATAGAATATTATTGCATAATAAAAAATGATGAAAGGAACCATTTCAGAGAAACCTAGAACTAATAAGGATCGAAGTAGGCAGAACTAAGTAGAACAATTTATAACATAACAACATTTAAAGCAAAACAATTTTGAAAGGCTTAAAACTCTGACCAATGCAATAACCACTACTCTGTAAGACAGGATGAAACAAGGTATCAACTTCATGAAATGAAGGTGAAGGAAGCAAATGCAGAAAGCAACATAGGATTTTTAGACAGGGTCAACATAATGAAAAGTTTTGTATAACTGTGCTTATTTGTTAAAAGGATTTTGTTTCTCTTTTTTTCAACAGGAGGAGGAGAAATTTGAGATGAAAAGCAGGGCTAGAGTAAATGTTGGCAAAAAAAAGAAAGAAAGAAAAAAGAGTTATTAAAACTTTTTTAATTCATAGGACAGAAAAGAAGGAAATTCAAAAGGAAACACAGGAAAGGTTTGAAAGTGCCATGTTGAATTTGGCATATACCTTTAAAAAACAGGGGGGGAAGCTGTATCAACTAGAGATTCACAGATTCCTATACAATCATCTTTTTCCCTCTGTTTTATTGTGTTCATAAAAATACTGTGGAGTTGTGTGTGTGTGTGTGTGTGTGTGTTTATTAAGTGCAGAATGTTTAAAATTTTTAAAAGAGAGAGACTGAAAGCAGATCAGTTAGGGGTCAGAAATTCATCACTTCAAAATTTCCGGGTAGTTTCATTCATTCTTCTATAAAGTAGAGTTAATCAGAGGCAGCTAGATGGCACAAAAGAGAGGAGCAGACCTGTAGTCAGGAATACTTAAGTTCAAATCCATTCTCAGACTTTTTAACTGTGTAATACTGAGTTAAGACACTTAACCTCTGTCTGTCTCAGTTTCCTCATCTGTAAAATGAAGATAATAATAGGCTGTACTTCCAGAAGCTGTGGTGGAAATCAAATAAGATTATATTTGTAAAGTGTTTTTAAAACCTTAAAGCACTATATAAATGCTACTATTTTTATTATTATCTTCGAACACAGTGGAGACAGACATTGAGAGAAAGATTTTATAAGACCTTGAACGTCAAGTTAAGGAATCTGTACTTTATTCTGTAAGCAATAGGGGACAGTATAAAGTTTTAGATAGGAAAGAGTGAAAAGAGGTATTGGGGTACAGGGGAAGGAGACATGTACATAACTGTGTTTGAGGAAATTAATCTGGTCATATTGTATTGAATGGAGAAACTACAGGGAGTAGGCCAATTAGACAATTGTAATAACCCAGGCATGAGGTGATGAGGACCTAAAATAGAGGATGATCATAGTGATGGAAAACGAGAATGTGAGAGACATTTATTTTGATAATTTGAAAGAGTTATTACTTCATCAATGTTAACTAAATACTCCCTTCACTTATTCATGGTCAAATATTGTCAAAAAAATCATCACTTGATACTCAACTTCCTGATGATGAACTTTTTAGCAATTAGCTAGGGTGGTCCTTGGATGACAGATACACAGCCCATCATCAAGGAAGTCAGTCAGTCAGTCAATAAACATTTGTTAAGTGCCTACTATTGCCAGGCCCTGTGCTACAGCTGGAAGTCAGTATAACTGACCAATTAGATATGGAGAAAGAAAGAGAAAAGGGAATCAAGGATGACTCTCTCCTCCACAAGAGCCATCTATGGAACTTACTTGTTCCCACATCAGTGCCCATTTCCATCTCTGTACTTTTGATCCTGCTATCTTCCCCATTTCCCAAAATTCTCTCCTTCTTCCTCTCAATTTATCTAAGTCCTACCCTGCTTTCCTTACCCAGATCCAGCCCTACTCTCTTGTCCTCAATAATTAGCTCTTCCTTTGAGATCTGCAGTACTGCTATCTTTACCACTCATTTAGCCCTTGACATATGTGGCCTGGCATTTCTATTCATTTCTTCATAGGTAGATTTCAACTACCATTCAAATCTGGAACTACCATTCTGTATTTCTACAGCTACAAAATATTGATACTACAAGTCTCTTGAATTTTTATCTTTATGGATCCAGCTCCTAGAATAGTACTTGATATTATGCACTTAATAAATGCTTATTAATTGATTGATTGAAACCATAAATGAATTTCATGATTCTAAAATTAGGCATGTCCTTTTATTTTATCCAAGCAAAAGCTTATTCTCTTTATACATGCACCACAGCACAAGGCTCAGGAAACTGATGCTTCTTCAATCATTGGAGCTTTCCTTAGACTTCTTGGGCTGATAGGCAGTTTTCCTAGAAAGCCTTTGAGCTCATTAGAAGTTATCCATTCTAGTCAATTATAAGGAGTCAAACACACCCAATTTTATTTTCGCACTCGTATTGTAGTTCAGCCATGCAAATTAATACAAGGTCAGAGGCCCACAATCAGAATGATATCAGGTTGAACATTTTCCTAAAGAAAGAAAATATGGTCCACAGCTCTGGTATGATATTCAGCCCCATCAGGTGAATCATCCCCAAGACATAGGATCAAAAGGAAATCTATAAGCTAGTAAAACAATGTTGGAGGCTAAAAAATTTATTTCATAATCACCATGCTTCTTTAACGAATCTGTGTGTACTTCCTCCATAGATGCAGAAAGCACAATCACTGAAACAAACAAAACCTAATTCTTACTGTATCTCTGTATACAACTGCATACAACACAACATATCGTATCTCTGCATAAGACTGGGATCTGGTAGCCTATACCTTTCTTAGGCTAGGCAAGGTAAATCAGGTTTTTATAATTTGTGGTTAAGTTTCAAGGAATGTAGGAACACACCTTGATTCTTGAAACAGCAAAATTGGTATTACAACCTATACTGTAACAGGATTCTACTCCGTAACTAAGGATCATAGAATCTGATATCTATAGGAACAGTGTCATTGCATTAGTCTGGCTCCAGTCCCTCAGACAATCTCCAGTTCTCTCCCACTGTTACCTTCCCAATGAGTGGTGTCACTCCATCTGATGCATTGACCCATATCTTCATGTCTGAGCCCCGGATATAAGGGCCATAGTTGGGAGAGTCAGTGGCAATGGCTGGATCCTATAAGAGAATAAGAAATAGAGTAGAAAAACCATCCTTGAGCTAAAGGGAAGAGAAAGAAGCTTATAGGCTGGGAGGGAGAGAAGGAGCATACCATAATAATGACATATTTCTGTCCGTGGTTGTGTAAATCTTTAGCAAACTCAGGTAGGTCCCTAAATAGTACTTTATCATAAGTGAAGTCCTTCTTCTCATCCATGTAGTCAATATCAGAGTACTGAACATCCTGTAAGAACAACACAGAAAGCACTATATGTGAAACACTGATAAAGTCACATAGGCTTTACAAAAAAAAAGCCAAAGCCCATCTGTTTTCAATCAATCCAAAATACCCTCTCCCCCATGATTACTCTACTCCCTTCCCCCTCTTTGGACTAATATTTTGTGTCTTTTCTTTTTTGCTTTCCAATGCTACCTTTGAGGTTTATTTCAACCTGATTTTACATATATAAAAGCAATGAGGAGAGAGCCACATAGTGAGGTTAATTCTGAGCCATAAAGCTTAGGTAACAATCCCAAGGAAATAAAAGATTTTCTCTTCCAAGGAAGACCTTCAGTCTTTGTAATTTACCTTTTCATGCAGTCCCTCAAACTCACAGCTTGCTGTCCAATAAAGCATACACACATTGCCATACCTAAAACTTAATAAGTGACCAGGGCATGGAGAAATCTTGGGACAAAAATTTATATACAAATTAGACAGTTAGGTGGTTTAGAAGGTAGACTATTTGACCTGAAATCAGGAAAACCCGAGCTCATTTCTGGCCTCAGACATTTACTAGATGTTTGACCCTGAGCAAATCACTTAACTTTTGCCTCAGTTTCCACATCTATAAAATGGGAATAATGATCACACTTAGCTCCTAATGTTGCTTTGAGGATAAAATGAGATAGTATTTATAAAGTGCTTTGTAAATCTTAAAGTGTTATATGAATGTTAGCTATTATTAAATTAGATAAACAACAAGAACACTTCCCCTCCATACTCACTTTATCTTGACAAAGTTGAATGCTTCAATCTGCCATATACAGTTAGAGACCTTCATTTCTGATTCTTAGTTGTGACCCCACCCACCCCCCAAAGCCTTGCTCTTCAGGTCCTTGATCACTAAGGAAGCAGGATATTTTCAGTCTGGGTTCCCCAAATCTTAACCTCGTATCATAAAACATATCATAGAACAAGCAGTGTTTGACATTCTGAATGGATTTATTCCCTTGGTCTTCTACTCACAGAAATTTCTAAACTCATTTCCTTTTCTTCATTGCCTCCCCAGTTTCATTGCAAAATTTTTGTTGTTTTTTTTCAATTGTGTCTGACTCTTCATAACCTCATTGGGGGTTTTCTTGGCAAAGATCCTTGAATGGTTTGCCATTTCCTTCTCCAGCTCATTTTACAGATGAGGAAACTGACGCAAGCAGGGTTAAGTGACTTCCCCAAAGTCACAGAGCTAGTAAGTGTCTGAGGCCAGATTTGAACTCAGGAAGATAAGTCTTCCTGACTAGAGCCCTGGCACTCTATCCACAATGCTGCCTAGTTGTTCCCCATTGCAAAATACCTTGCATATAATAGGTGTTTGATAAATACTTGTTGTAAGAAAAGAATCCCTGTCTTTGTCTACTTTGGTTCTTTTTTCACTTCGGTTCTTTTTTCACTTCTCTGCTTTTCTGTTTTCTTAGACTTTCTGAACTTTATTTTTCTAAATAAATTTCTTCTCCTCACATCTGCCACTTCCAATCCATTACTCCTCAGTCACTGATGATAATAATAATAATTTTTAAAAAAGAACATGCTTATACAATGCATCAAAGTGCTTTCCTCACAATAGCTCTGTAAGGTAGCTAATTCTGATTTTACATTCGAGGAAAGTGAAGAGACATTAAGTGACTTGTCCAATGTCACATGTAAGAACTGGACCTCTAACCCAAGTCCATCATATAATACTTGCCTCTCAGGCTTTGCAAGTCTAGTTACTATATATCAACCGCAAACCCCGTCCTTCAAATGGAAAATTGAACACAGTTTTTATCATGTCTAAACCTCAATTACATTTCAGTCACTCTCATCCCCCCTGGATGGCAATTTCTGCTCATTAACATTTTCTGCATTCTCAGCATGCTGTACCATTCCTTTTGTCGTTCAGTCATTCGGTCATGTTTGACTCTTCGTGACCTTGTGGACGTCTGTCCATGGAGTTTTCTTGGCAAAGGTACTGGAATAGTTTGCCATTTCCTTCTCCAGTGCATTACTGATCCATAGGTAAATAGGGTTAAGTGACTTGCCCAAGGTCACACACCTAGGAAGTTTCTAAGACTCAGGTCTTTCAGAATTTTAGCCTAGCACTCTATCCACTGTGCCACCTGGCTGTCCCTATTATCCCTAAAGCCAGAGAAAGAACTCTGGGGAAAAAAATTAAGAAACCTGGGTTCTATTCTCAATAACTAGCTGCTCAACCATGGACGAGTTACTTTACCCTTTTCCCTCATCTGTAAAATGAAAAGATTTGACTAGATCTCTCAGGGGGCTTCCCACTCGAACATTCGAGAATTTTGAAATACACAATCAGCTGTGTATGTATGCTAATACAGGAAGCAATGAAGCAGATAATTAGATACTGTAGACAACTCAAAAGTAATTTATGTGTTGTTTTGGATCATAGTATATGTTTTCTTTTTCCCCCCTTGTTTTTCATACTTATATTCTTAATTTCCTTAAGCTAATCCTAAAATTACAATGTGCTCCTTAAACACACATCAACTATTAGGCATCAGACAAGAGACAGTATTAGAGACATATTGGGGTTGCAAAGGATTAATAAACCAGGTTTAAAGACTGGTTGTGGATAATCCACATACAGAGAAGTGAGAATTGATTCTATCAATGTACAAACATACACTGATCAGTCAGAATCACAAAAAGTTAAGAATGAAAAGTGGTCTTTGCAATTCCACTAATCACAGGGAACTCCATTTAGTAGCTGAAGAAGTGATTGTCCAAAACAATATAACTACTAAGCAGCAAAGCTCGAGTCCTCTTATTCTTAGGCCAAGTGCTTTCCACTCAACCATCCTACTAAGGTTCCTCTTAAATAATATATTTTTTAGATATGCTAATGACAAGATAGATGATATTTATTAAATTTGACATCAAAAAGTAAATACAAGGTGAGTTTCAGTTCAGCTATGAGTAGATATATAAATTTTGCCTTCAAATCTATTTCCATACTGGCATATATTATTTTTCTTAAAACATATGAACTCCTCTATTCCAAGTCCAGGAGTTGAAAGAAAAGAATGAGTATTAAATCAAAGTAATTTTATTTTGGGCAACTAGGTGGCACAGTGGATAGCACACAGGCCAGAAGTCAGGAAGACTCATCTTCTTGAGTTCAAATCTGGCCTCAGACACTTACTAGCAGTGTGACCCTGGGTAAGTCACTTAACCCTGTTTGTCTCACTTTCCTCATATGTACAATGAGTTGGGGAAGAAACAGCAAACCACTCCAGTATCTTTGCCAAGAAAACCCCAAATTGGGTCATGAAGAGTTGGACATGACTAAACAACAAAAATTTTATTTTCTCTTCCCATGGAAAAAGTGAACTAGCAAGGTCAGAGAGCCTAGTTCCTCTGACTCAGCCAGAAAGGTGACACATAGAACAAGACAGTAGGATTATATAATCTTCCCTTTGTGGAACAGCAAATTTAGGAAGTAGAACAGAAAAACAGTACAGTCAGCTTTTTAGCATCTTCACCATTGTTGTGAACTCCCAGAACATCCGTGATAACCACATTCACACACAGTTGTAAAAACACCTTTCAAAGCCTAATAGCCCCAAATTTTACATTATAATCATTTTGAATTCCCAAAGGTATGCTCGCTTCCAAGGTTAGATAAATGAGAATCCAAGCCTAATTCTATTTATTTTATCTGTGCGGCATTTCACCCTTCCTGCATTTGGCATAAAAGCTAAAATGTTTCTATTTTTTCCAGTTTCTTGATTTTCATAGGACCCTGTATCTATGTGATTAGCATATTTATAAACCAGATAAAAACCAAAAGGTCCACATAAAAACAACCTGATTTTTAAACTATTTATTTGACTTGTGAACTTTGAATAACTGTATGGGGGGGCAATGCGGAAAAGACTAAGGATTTAAAATCAGAAGACATGCGTTCAAATCCCAGCTCTGCCATTTACTGCCTATGTGACCCTGGACAAGGTCCTTCAACTCCCTGGGGCTCAGTTACCTCATCTGTAAAATGAGAGAGTTGGAGTTGATGACCTCTAAGGTCCCTTCCAACTCTGTCTATTGTCCCATCATCTTTGTTCATTTGCCAAATGAACATAAAATCATTTTCATAGGAAATAACTGCACAAAGTCTGCTGAGAAAAGAATACTTGACACTCTACCTTCCTAGAGAGAGTTGATGGTTTAAATTAAATAATAAAAAATTAAATTAAATCAAATTATTTATTTAATTATTCATTAATTTAATTAAATTAATTATTAATTAAATTAAAATTTAAAATTGGTTATTAATTATTAATAAAATTTATTAATCTGCTTATTGATTTTAAGAACAATAAAATTATGAAAAATACCAGGGCACAGTACTCTTAAAATACAAAAACTATGTTTCAAAATTCAGGAGAATGGATTAATTATCCTAATTATATATTGATATTAATTAGGTTGATATCCATATCATTATCTATATTACTCAAGAAAAGAAAGACCAAATTCAGTTTGTTTAAAAGAAAAGTCCTCTTACACAAGGCAGCTGAGCAGCTCGGTTTCTCTCCACAACTTCCTTCATTCCATCCAAACCTCCGTACACCCAACGACTGAGATGAAATCCAAGAGTCCAATACGATGGTAAGAGTGGCCTTCCAATAAGCTAAAGGTGAGAATTAGACAAATGAGGCGTACTGAATATTCTGTAACCATTCTAATCAGAGTAGACCCCCTTCATAACACTGTCTTGTGGAGTTTGCTAATTATTTCCAAAAGAGACTGTCAGCTACTTGAACACAAAGATCACATCTCTCTCTAGGCTACTCACAGTACCTAGCATAGGGCAAAGTACAGAGTAGACATTAAAAAATCAGAGTCATTTACTTATTATAAACTAACCTGTTATACTAGCCTTTTACTCAATGGAGCATTTGGGAGAACATCATGATCTGGTCTATTTATCTCAATCTGTATAACTACCAAAGTAACTTTAAGAGTTTGGGGACTAGGGGCAGCTAGGTGGCGCAGTGGATAGAGCACCAGTCCCTAAGTCAGGAGAACCTGAGTTCAAATCCCGCCTAACCCAAATACTTGACACTTACTAGCTGTGTCACCATTGGCAAGTCACTTAACCCTAATTGCCTTAAAAAAAAAAAAGATTTTGGGGACTTTCCAACTCATATCACCCCCTCTCCTCTGCCATAAAAAAAAATCTCCTTCATTTGATTTCTGTATTTCTCTTTTTTAAAATTGAAGTAAAATACAATACAGAAGGAACAGAAGGGAATGCAGGAATGCATGGCAGGCTAACATACAATAAAACACTTTTTCTTAATCCATTTTTTAAATCTGAATAGTGTCATTTATTGCTATCAATTTGGTGAAAGAATTAAATTAGTCTATACCAATGAACACTCTGTTATAAAAACATGTATGTATATATATACATATATATATATATGTATACACACACACACACACACACACACACACACATAGTAACACATCCAGAGTTAGCTCTCCCCCCACCAAAGGCTGGTTTATCCAATGTAGCTAAGTCTCATGGTTTCTCATCTTCCTTTCTCCTATGCCCATTTTTTTTTAGTCAGTATACCCTACTCATCATCAGGTGAAATAAACAGGAAACTTAGGCCTATATATTTTACTTCTTGCCATAATTCTGATAAAACATGCTGTGACAAGAAACTAAAGCTATAGGACAGAATGAGAGGGTTGAGATCTCGCCCTATGCCTCTCTCTGAGGGTCAAAGATGGACTGACTTTCCCCAAATTTTTAGAATTCAGGATCTTACCTTTTAAATTTTAACCTTTCAAACATCCTAGGGAAAATTGAACTATAAAAAATACAGTATATAAATAGGCAAATGACCTTGGCTTTAAGGTTAACAATTAACCATAATGATGCTTCATTAAGTCTTTCTACAGGAATACTTTGCTTTATAGAACAGATATGTTTTTGTAAAGGTTGTCTCTAAAGTGCAGTTTCATATATTAAACTCTATTTTCCTGTTCATTAGCGTGGTACAACTGGAAATGTAAATGCATTTCTCTTTTTTTAAAAAAAGTTAGCTGCAAGAAATAATATTTCATTTAAAAATTCAGCAGACCCTGAAAATGCCATATTGAAAAGGGGGAAAATATATATATTACAATTGGCACCACAGTTTAAAGATATTTTTAAAAATTATAATACCAACTTCATTGGACACAAACTCAAATTGAAAAATCTCATCTGTTTCTAACAAATTCCTTCCAATGATACCCTTGATTACAAAAGCATTCAGCCTTTTGTGCTGTATATAACTTATCTCCTTGCACTTGGTGGAAATTGTTGCCTTCCCAATATGGAAGGGGTAGTTTCAAAGAGAGAAATAGGAAGGCACAAAATCTTCAGAGGTTCAAAATACAACAGGAGAAAACAAAGAAAGGAGCACATTTCCTGAAGGAAATAGCTAGAAGAGTCAGCAAAATTTGTATAGCCAACCTCCAGCTAATAATAACAAACGACAACAATAATTCATGTCTGTTGTGTTCACAAAGCACTTTCCAAACAATAACATTGTGAAGTAGGTAATACAAATGTTATTTTTCCTCTTTTATAAATAAGGAAAATGAAGACCAGGGTAAGAAAAAATAATTAGACCAAGGTCACCCACCTAGTAAATGTCAGAGCTAGAACTCAACCTCCGGTCTTATGAGTCAAAATCCAGTTTTCCTTTCCAACAAATCACATCAAGTGATGAATTCTGTAATAACAAATTTCTATATACTACATTTCTGAATGAGATTTACTAAACTGATATTATTATATTTCTTAAGTAACCAGTCACTGTGATGATATTCTGACATTGCTACTTATTGCACGTGACCTCCAGAAAAATCATTTCGTCTCTCCCAATCTCATTTTCCTCATGTCTGAGGTGAATGGTTTGAGTTCAGTTATGTCTAAGGCCCCTTCTAGCTTTCAATCCAATTAAGCATATTTTAACATACCTCAAGGTATTCCCAAACAACCTCTTCTGGAGTGTTCCCTAAGAAGACATAAAAGTCCAGAACACCCCCAGTGACTCGGTAAGTGATTGCTGGGGCAGGTTGAAGGGCAACCTCTAGAAGGAATTGGAATGAAGAAAGTAAGAATTATAATTGTGCCAATAATGGAAAAATTAGTGATGTTCATATATATGCCAGGAAATAATTGAATATCTCACCCTTAGTAACACTGTCCTCCTATCTTTGGTTTTGGATACAAATGAATAAATAAAAATGTTTATGACTAGAAAGGCACCAAATACCTCAGCACATGGTGTCAGTGGAGATATATCAGTAACTGATAATCAGTGTCATGCATCATCGGTGTCAGGGGCAATGACCATGACCCTTGGAGGAGAAAGTCTTTCAGAATGAGAAATTAATTAAGAAGTCTGCAGGGGAGTGCATACTTCCTCCTATAGCAATACTTATTTCTCCTACATGCCAACCTGCAAGATCCCATCAGCATAGTGAACCTCTCTTGGGCTTTCTCACCCAAACTCTACAGGGCTAAGCACTAGAATCTCTGGGGAACTAAAACTCCTCTCCTGGCAAGCCAACCATTCCTTACCAAATAAATAGGTGGATGATAGATATGTAGATAGACAGATAGGTAGATAGATAGATAGATGAAAAGATAGGTAGATAGATGAAAAATGAATAAATAAATGAAACACGGAATTAAGGAATGAATAAATGAATGGATAGCTAAATGAAAAAATAAATCAGTAAATGAATGAAGGAATGAATTGATGAATAAATGAATAAATGGAGAGGGGGGGAGAGGAAGAGAGAGAGAGAGAGAGAAAGATATTCCCCAGACACAATCACTGCTCATTATGACTTTGTTCAATCCAACCAAACTCTCTGAGAGAATATGGCCCTAACTTTAGACATGGAGGATGAAAGCTCAGACACTAATTTACATGATTTCCTGTTATAATGAAAAAGGGACCATTTTAACTGGCCAGAATCCCTCTAAAGTAAGCATATGCTATGGTGGGGGCCAGGTGGAATGAAGTCAAGTTTTACATTGATTGACTAGGGATAAAAGACTTCCTTCAAGCTTCCTTGAAGCAAAAATTCAAATGCTTCCAGGAGCCCTCTGGTTGACTGACTCAGCTTCTTACCTAGTCCCTTTCTACTAGCTGGAACTCTCATGACCTTAGATCAATTGATATTGATCTCTGCCTGGTCTCTTATTGCTACTACTGACCCTACTGACTTTAACACAGCTCATACTGATCTATTATGCAAATCTAAACTTTCCTGGCAGTTTAGATCCCTTACTGCACCACCACAGAAGAACAGTGCAGAAACACAAGGGGTGGTATGTTTCATGGAGTCTATCTCTGTGGATTTTTAAAAAAAAGACAGCTGTATGAGTGGATAATGGAAAACTTTAAGGGTACTTGTGTTTGAACAATTTCTCTGTGTGAAATCCTGGGAACTCTTGATTAGACAAAGGCCTTAACTCACTGAAGCTACAGCTTGTCATCAGATTATGATGCAACTGACTCAACCTGCCAGGGTATTTGAAGTCTATGCTTCAGGGATTCTTAAAGGGAAGCATCCCCTTTAACTCACTGTGGGAATGAAAAGACTTAAAATGTTCCCCATTGAAAAATATCCACTTCTTTACCCATGGCATTGCTGTTCATCAGAAAAACTCCAAAGGATAGTCCACTTGTATCTTCAAGGCACAAGAAAAACGTCTGAGCTCCATACAAGTTAGTCATGCCCTGGGGAAAAAAATACAAAACAGCAAACAAGTTAAAATGTACCAGACTGTATACTAGGAAAAGTGAAAGTGTTTGCCTTAATCAGTCTGGGACATTTGCATGACAAACACAGCTGCCTGATGGATGAGCTAAAGCCAAAGGAAACTCCAAATGGATTCAATAAATGTGTAGGGTCAAAATTAAGGTTTCATTTATATGAGAAAGAAGCAGCATGGTAAAGCTGATGGCAAGTTGGCCTTGGAATCAGAAAGAGGTAGGTTCAAGTCCTACCCCTGAAATGTAGTAATAACAATAACAACAATAATAACAACATTTATATCATATTATAAGTTTACAAAATGCTTTACAAGTTATCTCATTTGAACTCCACAAAAACCCTGGAATGCGGGTGTTGTCATTATCCCCATTTTCCTGTTGAGAAAACTGAGGCTCAGGGAGGATAAATGACTAGCCCAAGGTCACACAGCTCACAAGTATGTGAAGCAGAATTCATCTCATTGATCTTCCTGATAAGCTGTGCCAGCTACTTACCTCTACAAATGAACAAACGTTTCATTTAAAACTCGGTAGACTCAGAAGATGCCATATTGGTGGGTGGGTGTGTGGGTGGGTGTGTGTGTGTGTGTGTGTGTGTGTGTGTGTGTGTGTGTGCGCGTGTATACTGACCTCAAAGCCAGGAAGACCAGGGTTCATGTCTCTCCTTTGACATACACTTGACTGTGTGGCCCTGGGCAAGTCACTTAACTTTATTGAGCTCCAGACAACTCCTGAAGCTTATAAGTTGCAGAAGTACCAATCTGCATTGATAAAGTGACCTTCCATATCTAGGAGTTGTTTATACCAATGAAATCCAGTCCCTACCCTATCTGTTGGGATGTAGTTCACCTCACTCTAGAGATGCTAACTGGCTCTGTTAATTCACTACATCTTCAAGATGGTTCATATAATTCTGTCCACCTTTCTCACTGAAGAAGACAATTCCTACACTTAATTACTCATTCCCCATTAAAATGCCAGGTTCTGGTTCTCATGGTAATTGATTATACCAAATCTAAGACCTTAAAACACTCACACACACACACACACACACACACACACACACACACACATGCACACACACACACACACACACGCACGCACACACACACTCTCTGAAGGATTCTTTCACCATACGAAACAACAAAGGGCATGTGGGAGAATGCCTTCATAGAGGTGGGTTTCCTCCCTGTTTCTTGAACTAAACATTGTCTTCAGTCCCTGGTGATGTCAAACACAAGATTAACTAATGAACTGCCTCTTTATATACCACCAGTCTTAGAAATTGAGAGGAGCAGAGAGAAATAGACAAAGCCAGTGTTCATAAGGGAATGCACTATAGTCATAGTACAAGTTTATGTCCCTCATTTATTTACTAATTATGTGACCCTGGGCAAGTCCTTTAACCTCCTGGTATCTGAGTTTCCTCATCTGTAAAATGGGGATAATAATATCACCTCCCTCCCAGGGCTGTTATGAAGACAAAATAAGATATTTCTAAAGTGCTTTGTAAACCTTAAGCATTATATAAATGCTAGTTATTATTCTTATAAATCTAGACATTCTAGGGACTAATCTGAATAAGTTCTGCTATATTTTTACTATCTTCCATCCTTACATCTCAGAGAAAGTATATTTTTGCAGCCAATGTTTAGGCTAGTAGCCTTTTTAACTGACAGACTGAGTAAGTGGTAATCTTATATACTAAAGGTAATACAATATATGGAACTGCCACATTTTGAATAGTCCAACATTCCAAATATGTTAATCCCATTTTACTCATAATTGGCAAAGGCAAAGGAAAAACAAGGTAAATGATAAAGGCTGATTTGGGGGCTTGGTGGGGTGGGGCTAACAACTTGTCCAAGATATGCTAGAAAGGAGCCTTATTCACTTATAGGTTAGACAAGATGAATTCCAGGTAAAGAGGAAGATTTTCTGAAGTGTTACATCATTAGGAGTATTGTCCCGAGAGAAGATGGGCCAGGTCTTCCAATCCATATCATGGCGGTACTGCTGGTGCACATGCTCCCCTAGGCCATACACATTAGCACTGGGTAGCTGGATGGAGAGCTGCAGGTACTGCTGAGCAAACTGGAGGGGCCCAATACCACTGTCAAATCTGGACACAAATGAAGAAGAGAGAAAAAGAGATTATATTGGACCAAATAACAAACAGTTATTAATTGCCTAATAGATCTGAGGGTGATACAGAGAGGGAAGAGGCAAAGGTCATTTCTGCATGAGAAAACTTTTACATAAATCTCAGCGACTAAAGAGCCCCTATTTTGTCCTAACTCTTTGCCAAGCTCTAGATAATTAATTTCTCCTCTAGATAATTAATTCCCAGGACATGGACATTGTTTTTCTCCATCTACCCATGGTCCTTCAGTCCCATTCAATCATTACCGTATTTTAAATGTATAGCTGTTTCATCCCCAGAAATTGCTTCCTGTCTCTGCTCATTACAAACAAGAGTTAACATTTTTTCTTCAAACATCATTCAGATTGGTTAGCCCCTGATTAAGAAGACACAGTAGCTCCCCATTGCCTATCATTTCAAATTCTTATTTCTTACCCTAGCCTTCAAGTTCTCTCCAATAATTCTCTTCCTCATTCTCCAGTCACTATCTCACCAATCATATTTCTCATTCCTCTCTGATCACCCATTCTTTAGGATTACAATACTTGGTTTCCACTTACGTTTGAATCTTTTCTTAAAATTTCTTTTATTGACTATAATTTTATTGCTTGGGATCAGTAAGAAATGCACTTAATATTTCTGCCTTTCTGCAAGGGCAATTTTCACAGAAGTGCCATACAAGGATGAACATGTGTATACTCCTCACAATTCCCATTTAGTAATCTCCATAGGTCTAGCATATATAATTTTCTAATATTCTATTCAGATCTTTAATTATTTTTATACATGTGTCTAGGTCTGAAGGGAGCATATTGAAGTCTCTCATTACTCTCCACTTAGCTCCTCTATTCTTGAAAAGCCAATCTCCTTAACCATTTCTCCCTCCCCATTCCCACCTTCATGCCACTTGCTTTTTTCTTTGCCTAAAATGTGCTAATCCTCTTTGCCCTACATAAATCCATATTTTCCCCTTCTTTCAAATCCCAGCTAATCAGGAAGTCTTTCTGAAAGGATGAGACCTATTTCCCTGTCTTTACATCCAGAGCTTTCTGAAAATACAAATTATAGCCAGGAAAGTCCACAGTGCAGGGTCTATCTCTTTCTTCTGCTGTATCTGTCTCAAGAGCCCAGTGTAGTGTTTTGCAATATATAAGGCACAAAGTCAATGTTGGTGAGTGACATGTAAATGAGTGTAAGGGAGATGTGTTATACCAGCCTAGCTCCCTCTCGTGAGAATGCATCCTATCCTCCAATTAACAAATCATCTCTGAGATATGGTAATATAATCCATCTCACACTCAGATTCTTAAAGTGCAAAGAATAACTATAATAATAATAACCAAATAAATATATATTTATAATATATATAAATAAATAATAACCAAAGAATAATCAGACACTGTCTTCTCAATCCCAAAATCAGTGTCTCTATCTCTAATTATCTTCTGATCAAAACAAAGGTTCGGGCCCTACCCAGTAACTAAATGAGAGAGTGCTAGGGAAGAGAAAGGGAAAAGAAAAGAGAGACAAAAACTAAAAACCTAATATTCAGGAACCCTGACACAATGATGCTATAGTGTATATTCCTAAGCTAAAAATTAATCAGGTCATTCTCAAGTTTTTAGAGCCCTCTGCTCATTATCTCCAATGTCCCAGTCATCACATACGCTTACAGAACTTACAAAACACGGTTGTTGCTTTTCCGAATAACTTTGATGCTAAATGGCTCTTTTTCAATGTCCACACGATAGTTCAAATTATTAGCTGCGTTTCCAGTAAATGGCTGGACGTGTTCATGAGGGACCTCATATCTGGCATCACTGGGGTCACTGATCTGTCCAAAGGAAGGAACAAACAGAAAAGTAAAATGAAATACATTCAGAAAATCCAACAACTTTGGGGGAGGGTTTTTGTCTTTGACTTTTTAGAAAGAGGCAAATTTAAGCTTATTTCAAATACAAACGTCCTAATATTTAGAGCCGTACAAATGGAATGGGCTGCCTCAGGAGGACTTCACCAGAGGTCTTCAAGGTAAGATATGTTAGATTTAGATGATATGCCTTTCAGACACAATTTGAACTAGATGGCCTCTAAAATTCTGTAACCATTTTTGTTTTTTTAAAGTAAATATCTCTCATGAAATGAAAATCATTTCTCATTTACAAATCAACACACAATGATTCTACAGAGACAGCTTTTCAATTAAATTCAATGAATTCAACACATATCAATAGTATATAAAAGGCAGCATGAGAAGTGGTTAGGGAGCCAGGTTCAATAAGGAAGACCTGAGTTCAGGTTCTGAATTTAGCACAGTGAAGCTAAGTAATTTTAAAACTATCATTTACATAAGAATTGTTGAGCTTCATTGGTAGAGACATTTTCCCCACTGGATGTTCCCTATCCTAATAAAATCATAGGTACAGACCCACTATGTGAAAAGTAAAAATTCATACTTTTAAAACTCTCAACTTCCCAGTTGTTTTCTCCCTATAACACTTCCCTTGGCACAAAGGGGACATGATCAATCGATCACATCTCACTCATCAAACATGAGGAGATATGGTATCTCCTGATTGTGATGTTGCTGACACTGTCAATTTAAACAAATTTACATTATCTTGTTTGTATTTTATAGAATAATAGTATCATGATAGCTAGATTGTGAGTCATGGTTCTCTGCTTCTCAATAGCTGTGTGAGCTATTTATTTAAGTCATTTAATCTCTGTGGTCCTCAGTTCTCTCATTCCTAAATTGAAGGCTAGGATTAGATGATTTCGAAGGTCCCATCCAGCCCTAAGATCTTTTGATCTTATTGCTACTATTAATCTCTAAGTCTCCCAAGGACCTTTGCACTTTCAATTAAATGAACAAAAAAATCAAAAACCTTGAAGTGGAAACGATTGGATGTCTGGTATTCTGCTTCAAGGATGACACTGGCAATATCACTTCCAAACATTGAGCGGGTAGGCAGTCTGCTCAACTGGGCTGTGAACCCTGATGGGGGAGAAAACATGAAGAGTTGTCATGCCCTGGACAGAACTCATTAGCACTACCCACAAACACCCAAAATGTAAAGAGGGAACAATAAGAAAAAAAAGGAAGAAAGAAAAAAAGAAAGAAAGAAGGAAAGAGAAAGAAATGAAGGAAGGAAGGAAAGAGGGAAGAAAAAGAAAAAGAAAAGCTTTCTGCTTTTCAAAAGAAGTGGGAAAGAGATGGACAAACACTGTCATATATGCATACGACTACTGAGTCATAACTTGTGGGGGCAAATGGTACTGAATCTTCTGTACCCAACCCATTCTCCTCTCCTTAAAAATATGAATAAAGACTTCCTCTGGAAAGTGTTCCTCTTACTCAATTCAGTTCAGTCCAATAAACAATTAATTAAAGCCTACTATTATAAGCAAGGCAAAACACAAATTTTAAGTTTTATTGATAACTTTTGTTTGTTCCACTATTATCTCTCAGACAATGTCTGGACTCTCCCTTGTAACAAGGAAAAACACTTAAGCAGCACCATCCAACAAAGCCACCATATATGAAAGGACATGTAACACTATGCACCTATAGTTACTACCACCACCATCACACACACACACACACACACACACACACACACACACACTCCTCTCTAATGAGAAGAGAAGAGGGAGATGTGCTTCATTATCCAGGGTTAGAGGCAGTGAGATGATACAGTGGTTAGAGTGCTGGGCACAGGGTCAGGAAGACCTGAGTTCAAATCCAACCACAGACATTTACTAGCTGTGTATTAGGCAAATCAACTCTATCTAGCTCAGATTCTCCATTTTTAAAATGGGGATGATAATAACACTTGCCTCCCAAGATGGTTGTAAAGATCAAGTGAGATAATATTTGTATAATACCAACCACACAGTAAGTACTTAAACAACACTTGTTTTCTTCCTTCTCTAGCACCAAAACTGGTTCATACAATTAATCTGAGTACAACTACTTTTAAGTGTTAGTTCTATTTATACTATTATAATTACTGCTCTGGTTCTGAATATTTTCACTTTTACTTCATGCAAGTCTCCCTATGTTTTCCCAAATTCCTTGCATTCATCATTTCTCACAGAACAGTCTATTCTAATACTTTCATATGCTAATATCTGTCAGTCATTTTCCAATCTATATCATGCAAGGTCAATCAGTCAACAAGTGCTTATCATATTATGTGCTAGGGATACAAAGAAAGGCAAAAACACCATTCCTGGCCTCAAAGAACTCACATTATAACAGGGGAGATAGCATGTAAGTAACTAAAACAAGTGAGAGAAGGTGCACTAAATGCACTGTGAAGTCACCTTACCCTCACTGATTTCCTTTAATGCATATTCTCTCAGTATTTATGAATTCACTTGGAATTTTCCTCCCTTTCATCTGCTTGTATGCTTTGTTGTTAGTATGTATATGGGAGGCAGTTTGCTATAGTGGAAAATGAACTAGATTTGGAAATGGAGGACTCCAATTCTAATTCGGACTCTTTCACTTTCTACCTATGGAATCTTAGGAAAATTACTTCACATCTCTGGACCTCAATTTCCTCAACTGTAAAATGATGGGGGTAGGGGTTAGACTACTTTTTAATGTCTCTTCCATATCTATGATCCAAAGTCTTTCATGTATGTTGGTCTTATCACCCCAACTAGATTATAAGTTAACTTCAAGACTAGGAACTCCCTGAGAACAGGAATTATACTAAGTATTTCCAGAGGTCAGGATCCATTTATGTTCCTTCTTCTGTCTCTTCCATCCTGCCTTGCTTTAGGAGTAGGGGTGGTTCTGCTTAGTCTTTGCCATTATCAATAATAAAGAAATGACCTTGCATTTGTTTAATGCTTCATAGTTCACAAAAGCCCTTGCCTGACTTATAAGTTAGGTTTTTCTTTAAAGATTAAATTATGCCTCCAATATTATTGCCCTTCTGCATCCTGACCCCTTATCCATGAGAAGTTCTATCTACCTTACATGGGGAATATGACAATGCAGGGAGACACACCATGCGCTCACAGTTCTGTCTACTGGGTGGTTTTTGAGTCCACCCCCAAGGTTATTACATATACTTCTCTGCTGTCCTGGGAACTGGCTTACTTACCTGCTCTGGTGTTTGCACTACCTTCTACCTGATAGCCATACTGCTTTGAGAAGTAGCACCAGGGCATATTTACTGGTCCCTCAGGGCTCCAGCAACAACCACGCTGGTTACATGCGGCCTGGAACAAAAAGAATTTTGTCAGATTAATAGTGTCAACAGTGGCCTCCTAATATTACTCACCTCCTATCCTAGGTATCTTTCATACAGAGAGTCTTGGATGAATTATAATTATGAGTATTCTTGAGAAATATGGTCACCAATTCACAGGAGTAATGAAACAAATAACACAAAATGTCAGATTGTCCATCATCCTACATTTCCCTTTGCCTCACATGATTCTCTGATTTGTTTTTTCTAGGAAAGAGAATTATATTGCTAATGATATCTGACTCAGGCTGATATTAAAATAAATGGATTTCTTTGACCATATGCTGTGACAGATACTATATGAGAGCAACCCAGAACTGGGCTAAGAGATTGTACTTGAGAAGCATTCTTTCAATTCAAAATATCTTTAAAGGTTCAAAAGGGAAGAGGGGGTAAAGTCCATTTAGAAATTGATGTATACATACATGCATATGTGTGTGTATATATATATGTGTGTACATGCACATACGTATACAGACACATACAGACATATACACACACAACAGCTAAAAGATTCTTTACTATGGTATTATATATATAGATATATTTCAAAGAACAGTGAGTATATGTTTGACTATTAGATTCAAGTTTATATAGAAAATGGGGAAAAAGACACAGTGAAATTTCTTGTCCGATCTTTCTCTTCTAGATGTAGAAGATGAAAAAGTGCAAGTACTGAGACATTTTGGAAAGATTAAGCCACATTTAAATTCCAAAGCAGTATTAGAAGAGATGAGTAGAGGTATGAATAGTCCCAATAAACAGGTAAAATAGAAACTAAACCTCATATTAATTTAAGAACATATTCAATACATTTGAGATGAGAGAAAACATCAATCTAAGCCTAAGTGAAATATTTTTTTAATCTTGCTTCAATAAGAATTTTCATTGAAGTTGAATAAATAATTTTTTATTTAATTAAATTGTTGTTTTAATAAAGAATTATATTTTTCTACCAAAAGAAGTACTGAATTGTTTGTGCAAAATTCTCTAAGTCATCAGTCAGTCCTACATGGGAGAACAGCTTCCTGTCTAGTGGCTGCTATACATACAGTAAACATAGCGCTTATGAAAAGCTAGGGGGTTGTCCTATAAACTGAACTCTTTTAAATTAAGGCAGAACTAATATTAACACGTGAATATTATGGTTAAACAGATTTCAGCTCAGGATAAGGAAAAACTTGCTAAGACTTGACTCACATAATTATAAGTACTTCGATTACACTATTTGCCATGTTTTATTTTCTGTCATGTTCTGTATTGGGTGGCCCATGTGTTATAGTGGTAAAGGGCTGTCATGAGGAAGTCAGGCCTGGGCAAGAACTAACTCCGTCATGAGAATTTAAAGTTAATAGTGCACCTGGAGGCTTAAAGAAACTTGGGAGAGTCAACCTCTGCTTGTAGTGAATGAAGCAAAAAATTGAAATCTAATTACTGATTATCTGGGAACTGAGATAGACTTAAGAAAGGAATAGAAAGAAAAGAATGTTTTTAAAGTTACCAAAAAGACAAAAAGAATTATAGCTATTGCTATTAAGTAAAAGGAAATTAGAATGCCAAGGGAAGGGGTGCTATTGATTTTTGTACAGCTTGAGCTTAATGTAAGAATCACTTATTAGTGCTACTTGCCGTTCTTTGTATTTCAAGTAGTTAGTGCAGTGCCTAGCACACCTAGTAAGTGCTTAATAAAAGTTTTTTGACTGACTGATTAGAGAACAATGTGTTAGGTGCTGATGGAGATGAAATTTAGAATGCCTTAGGAAATAGTGAGCTCCCCATCACCAGAGATCTTCAAAAAGAGACTAGATGACCAATTGTCAAGGATAAAATGAGGAAGTTGGACCAGATGATCTCTAAAATCATCTTTTCCAGAACTAAATCTTTACCCTTCCATGGTGTAAAAGGAATTCATGTTTCAAATGGGAAACTTCTGTGGTTTCTTATGAACTCTTAGATTCACGATTTTGTGTGTTGGAAGGACCTTTCCTATAACCCAGATTTCACCTTCAAGCACCCCAATTTACAGCATTCTGCCTTCCCCTACAAAACAGCACCTAACTTCCAGTTCTAACCTGCCTATTGACCCAGCTCTGTCCTAGCATTAGGAGAAATACAAAGGTTTTACTGTTGGGCGACCCAACCACCTATTCTGCATCCTTCAACACAACTCCTAGCCCCCTCTTCCAAACTCCAGTCTCTCACACTGTATCCTTATGTGTGGTTGGAATCCTGACTTTCCTTATATTCTCTGATCATAATTAAAGTCCTCTAGAGGTGATGTTCATGTCAAAGGTAATAATAAATTATGCATCCAGGCATTCACACTCTGATTAAGGAAAACACGAATGATATGTATGGATGAATGCCAAAGCTATGTACTAATTAATTTGTAGCAAAGACGATTAAAAAAAGCAAAGTTCATTTAAAGAATAATAAAGATGATCAAGCATTAACAGAATATTACTTTATTGTCCCTATACAATAGCAATAAAACAAAAAAGAAAAAGGAACTGTTATTCAAATAATTAGATTGATACCTGAAGTTTAGCAAGTTCTAATGTTAAAATTGGTTGGGGGTGGGGTCTTAGACTTCCTAAAGAGAAAGCAGTGACAGGACAGACAATTTCTTTTGAAATATATTGAATTGGTGACTTATATCTTTACATCAGTAAATTCTGGCGAAAAAAAAAAAAAACTCCACCCTACTCCAATTCATTAAATCCTCCTTTGTAACAAAGAATTAAAATTAAGCAACAAATTCTGCCATAGGAATGAACTGCTATCTGATAATGTATACAACATTATGCTCCAATATTCCCCCACCTCTCTGCTTAGAGGAGGGAGACATGCTTTATTATTTGTTAATCATTCTTGGCTTTTCAACCACTCAAACTTCATGCACTTTTTAGTAGTCTTTTCATTTTCATTGTTATCATCATTTGGATTCTACTTATTTCACTACATAAGTTCATTTTTAAAATTTCCCATGTTTTTCTGAGTGCCTCATATTCAATATTTCTTACTTCACTATAACATTATATTACACCTATATACCATAGGTTTTGCAGCCATATCCCAACTGATGGGCATCCATTATATTTCCACTTGTTTGCTACCATAAAGTTTCCAGCTATGATTATTTTGGTATAGAGAGAAAATCTATTTCTATATAACTTCTTTTGGGCCCAATGGTGAGCTTACTGGGTCAAAGAGTATTTCCTGGCTCAAAGGGTATACTCTTAACTTTTTAAGGAAGTTTAGGAGTTTTTGCAACCTTGTTATAAACATTTAACAAGCACCCTTCTTTGCCTTTAAGACTTATTACTACTACCATCATTACTACCATCAACAAACCCACTACGAAATTGACTCATTTTACATAACTGTTCTTCCCAGTCTCCAATGATCTTTTCCTTGTCAAATCTAATGATCTTTTCTTGATCCTCACCCTTCTTAAATTCTCTATAGCCTCTGACCCTATTGATCACCTCTCCTCCCACATGTTCTCTCCTCTGAGTTTTTGTAACAATTTTCTCTCTTGACTCTCTTCTGACTGTTTCTTCTCAGTGTGCTTTGCTGGATCATCATCATCCATGTCACACCCTCTAAAAGAGGGTATACTCCAACACTCAGTCCATGGCCTTCTCTCTCAACTAGACTTATTCACTTGCTAATCTTATCAGCTCCCAAGAACTTCGTTATCATCTCTATGCAGAGAAGTGATTCCTAGATCTCTCAATCCAACCCTAGTCTATCTCTCAAGCTCCAGTCCCTTACCACCTAGTACATATTTCAACCTGGAGAGATGCTCAATTGGAATCTCAAATTTAATCTGTTCAAAATGGGATTTATTGTTGTTCCCAAACTCATTTAGGTGACTCAGTGGATATGGTGTTGGTCCCGGAGTCAGGAAAACCTGAGTTCAAATCCAGCTTCAGACACTTCCTAGCTGTGCGACCCTGGGCAAGTCACTTAATCTCTGCTTGCCTAACAAAAAGATTCCATTGGATCCACTGGAGAAGGAAATGGCAAACTACTCCAATATTTTTGCCAAGAAAACCCCATGGAAGTTGGTCCATGGAGTCACAAAGAGTTGGACACAACCGATCAACTGAATAACAACCACCTCACAGGAATGTTGTGAAGATCAAATGAGTTAATATTTGTAAAGCACTTAAACACAGAGTCTGGCAGATAGTAAATGCTATATAAATACTAATTGCTTTCTCTTCCCTCTTCTTCCAAATCTCCCTGTTTCTATGGAGGACTTTATTATCCTTCTTAGTCACCCAGTTTACAACCTTGATATTATCATAGATTCTTCATTCTTACTCACCCCTAAATATCCAAGCAAATCTTGTTCTTAACACCACATCATCTCTCACTTCCATCTTCTTTTCTCTATTCACATTGCCTCCACCTTACTTTAGGCTCTTAAGAGATCTCATCTAGACTATCACAACAGCCTCCTAATTGGTCTCCTTTACAAGCATTCATTAAGTGCCTACTATGTGACCGGCACTGTGCTAAGTGCTTTACAAACATTATCTCATTTGATCCTCACAACAACCTTGAGGTTGGTGCTATTATAATCCCCATTCTACAGTTAAGGAAACTGAGGAAAGCAAACTAAGACTTGCCCAGGATCACACAGCTAGCAAATGTCTGAAGCTAGATTTAAACTCAGGTCTTCCTAATTCCAGGCCCAGCACGTTGGCCACTGCATCACCTCGCTGCCTTAAAGAAGAGTCTGGAGGCAGCTAGGTGGCGCAGGGGCTAGAGCCTTGGAGTCAGGAGGACCTGAGTTCAAATCCAGTGTCAGATACATGACACTTACTAGCTGTGTGACCCTGGGTAAGTCACTTAACCCCGACTGCCTCATCAAAAAAAAAAAAAGAGTCTGTATTTTATCTTAGAGATAATTGAGAGTCACTGAAGCTTCTTCTTAAACAGGGGAGTAACAATTGAACCTGTGCTTTAGGAATATCAATTTGGTGGCAATGTGGAAAATGGATTGGAGAAGGGAGAGGCTGAAAGACAGGAAACCAATTAGTAGGCTATTATGATAGTACAGACAAGACATAATGAGGACCAGCTACAGTGACAGTGATATGAAGGGGACAAGGTTGTGAGGTAGAATCAAGTCAATTTGGCAACTATTTGGCTATGGAGAATAGGCAGGGGGAATGAGGGGAAATGAGGAAGAAAGAAGGGTTGAATAAACCTCCAAGATTGTAAACCCGGTTTACTATGAGGATCGTGGTGCCTTTGTCAGAAATAGAGACATTAGGAAGGAGAACAGGTTTAGAGGGAGAGATAATGAGTTCCATTTTAGATGTGTTCAGTTCAAGATGCCTATGGGTCATGCAGGTGAGATGCCCAGTTGGCAATTAGTTGAGCTTAGGAAAGAAATGGACACTGGATATGCAGATTTAGCAGTTATCTGCATATAGATAATAATTTATGACAGAGTTTGAAATTGACTCTCCTCAAGCAGATGGAAGGCTGACTCAGAAAATGTCACTGTGGAATGCATGTTTCACCCGCCCAAACTCAGCCTGACTTTAGCCGCTGGTCAGCCTCGTGAATCAGGGCACACTCCTTCCCACTCATCTAACCCACTGAATTATCCTGGAACCAAAGACAGAAAATTAAGCCACAAGACCAATAACCAGTATTCTGACAAAACTCTGTGCAAACTTAAGGAGAACTCGAATGCCTCCCCACCTCTTAACTTTCGAATCAGCAAAATGAGATGATCTCTAAGGTCCCTGCCACCTCTACCATGCTGTTTGTGAGGAATAAGTCTAAAGAACAAATAGTCTGAATAGTCTAAAGGATAAAATCATATATTAAAACAGACCTGTGTTGGTGTTTGATCAGGGATGCAGTTGATCCTTTCCGACAGGTTTACTGCATGGCATACTGGAGTTAAAGTCGTGGAAGTAGAGGCTGTCCTTGTTGTCTCAGGACTTGAAGTAGTGCTAGCTTCTGAATCTTAAGATTTGTAAGATTGTACATGACAAATGCCAAAAGAAAAAAACATGAAATATACGTCAAAAAACTTTCAATTCCACTCTGTTCTTAGTACTTAACCATTTTTCAGTGGATTAATTCTGTTGATGATTTTACTTTTACGCTGCGGTCCTCAGCATTTATACATTCCATAAATTTAAAATATCTTAGAGTCAGCCTTGTGTAGTGGAATCAGGAATGTTGTTGTTTTCAGTTTTGTCTGACTCTTCATGACCCCATTGGGGGTTTTCTTGACAAAAATACTGAAGTGGCTTTGCCATTTCTTTCTCCAGCTCATTTTACAAATGAGAAAACTGAGGCAAACAGGATGAAGTGATTTGCCCAGGGTCACATTGCTGGTAAGTATCTGAGGCCAGATTTGATGAGTCTTCCTGACTTCAGTCTGGGCACTCTATTCACTGTACCATCTAGCTGCCCAATCAGGTCCTGGGTTCCAATTCCAGATCTAATATGGATCAGCTTAATACCTCTAAACCTCAGCTTCCTCAACTATGAAATGTGAATAATAAAAGCATTACTACCTTAGTCATAGGGCTAAGTATGTTCTAAACCTGAGAATGTTAAATAAAATGTGAGGTTATAGGATCATACATTTAGAGTTCAAAGGAAGTTTAAAGGCTATTTAGTCACACCCTCTCATTTTATAGAGGAGGAAATTGAAGCTGAGGGACCCTTTAAGTGACTTGCTCAAAATCCCATAGTTAGCTAGATGGGGACCAGACTTGTACTTTGTTGGCAAGAACATTCTCATCCTGCAAGACCCCACCAGCTTTGGTACTCCACCTTGGTACTCCAACTCTATCCTTCTGGAGGTTGTGGCCATGGACTCCAAAACCTCCATTAAAGGAGGGAGATCATCTCAGAACACCTCATTTCTCATCTGGCTACCCTACTTTGGAATTTCTCTGACTTTCCCACCACATCCCCAAGAAGCTCATTACTGGGGAAAACTATACTGAGAAACACCGACAAATCGAATCTAAACAAGGGGAGCATGAATTGTGCTTGAAAAGATCCAAAAAGTGTTTCTTCTCTGGGAATTTGGTGAACATTTTTACTTACATCTGTACATGAAGTTTATATGTCATTCTAACAATATAATATATTTATTTAATATTTCAAAAAGAAAAAGAGAGGAAAACTTCATCATCCTGAAAGAGCCCATCAGCCTCCGTGTTCCATCTCATCCTGAATCTCTAACTGGAGTGCCTGCCTCTCTGCTTCTCAGCTTCCCTTTGTGTGTTGTCCTCTCAAAAGAGATTGTAAGCTGCTTGAGGGCAAGGCCTGTCTTCCTTTTTTCTTACTTGTATACCCAGTGCGGTGCCTGACAGACTGATTTCATTAGTATAGAGTACTTAGAATGAGGAAATCCCTCTACCAAGGCAGGTTGCTACTTTCTCTGCAATTCTTATGTGCCCAGGGTCACCCAGCTAGTAAATGTCTGAGGCAGGACATGATCTCAAGTCTTCCTGACTAGAAGGCCAACACTCCATTCATTATGCCACTTTCTACAAATTTTCATTTGCTGGTAACATCTTCTGTGTGTGTGTCTGTCTGTCTGTCTCTGTCTCTGCTTATGAGTGGGCACTCTTAGGTGTCATCCCTCTCCTTGTATCCCCCATCACACCAGGAGCAAGTAATTTGTCTCCCCCATTAAACTGAGAGCTTCTTGAAGATAAGAACTAAGTGAGATTACCCTCGTTACTTCTCTTGCCCTTCATTGCCTACATGATTCTGTTCTTGAGGAATGCTCAATATATGGTATCATAAATTTGGAACTGGAAAGACCTTAGAGGATATCTTATCTAGTTCCTTATTTCACATAAAAGGAAACTGAGGCCCAGAGAGGTTGTTGTCTTGCCTAAGGTCACAGAGGTAGATATATTACCTTAATTTTAACTACACAAATGATAACTCCACTCTGGCCCCTCCATAATGATTGCATAAATATATAAATGATAAGGTCCACATGCTTTGAAAATGGGCTTGTCAATCTGATGATAGAGAGACAATATCTGATTTTGAATTTTTTCTTATTTTTTTAATTTTATCTTATCTTTATCTAATCTGCTCATTGTTGTATTCTGGGGAAATCCCTTCCCTAGCCACCAACTATCCCCTTTGTCCCATTCAACTATTTCACAAATACGTGCCACATGTCATAAGAGCACAGTCTGAGAGAATGTGAATAACTTAGCACAATCCAATCCCAGGATTAGAAAAGTAATGCAGACTACTATTGATGGTAAATCAGTAAAATCATTTTCCTCACATATACATATATCCAAAAAGACAAAATATTTAGATAATTAAGGGACTCCTATTTCGTAAGTGTAAATTTTGGTTAAATACATTTATTATTTCTATCATTTATCCTATCTTTCCTATGAAAAGTATTAATTATTATTGTCATTAATGCTATTCAATGAAATTTAACAAACATTCAACAAGCCAAAATGCTATTTTAAGTGAAGGATACAAAAGAAATGTGAATGGAACCCTTGAGTCTGCAATGTCAAAATCTACACAATATTAATAGCAGCACTTCACAAACTAATTTGGTCATGGCACACTTTGATGCATGTAACATACTACCATCCAAAATGATGTAAGGGGAAAGTCTGGGAACATTAAATACCCTATGGATAATAGGGAGGAAGAAAACCTTTAGTGCTAGAAAAAGAAAATTAAGCCTTTTCTCGTGCCTCCAAAATGCCATATAAAATGTTTTTGACACATAGTTTTGTATTTAGTATATTAGAACAGAAAATATCTTAGCAATGATATTTTCACACCTATCATGTATTCATATTTCATGGAAGACCAAGATTCTGTGGAGCACAGTCTGGGGATCACTACCCTAGAGAATATAGGAAGGACACCTCCTCCTCTAGAAAACATTGGGCCATGATAGGTGACCACAGTGCAAGAATGCCATAATTCTTTGTCTTGTTACCTTTCACACCCAGAGTATTTGTAGCTAAAAGCACAATCAGGACAACAGAGATGATGAACAATGCCACGAGCAGAACACTAAGGATTATCTCCAATTTGCTGAAAGTCTTCTTCGCCATCTAAATAGGAAGGAAAAAGAGATTAGAGTTTTTGATACTATAAGGATCTGTAACAGATGGAGGCTAAAGAATCTTTTGTCAGTAGAAAGTGTCGGTAGAAAGTGTTCTTGCTTAAAATATGGGATAGACTAGGACTTGGGAGGTCTTTTCCAATTCTGAGATTCTGTGATTCTAAGCACCCCTATTACTTGTGGGAGATAGTCAATAAAAATCTAATCACTACTAATTTGTTCTATATTTTAAGTGTTTCCCTCTTAGAAGACAATAGACATTACTTAAAATACACAGTTATGTTTTAACTACAGTGCTCAAAGTATGCATTCTTACACTGAAGTATTTCTACCAAGTGCCCAGCCTAGAAGTAATGAGAAAATGCCCCGAAAAGATCTGGCAATTAGAATAAGACCTAAATGACAGAGAAAAGATAGCAGAAGTATTTAGAACACAAGAACCATCAACTTCACAGTCCTCATTGTTTCAAAATTCTAAATTCTCATTTATGATATTTTTCCAGCCAAGATTAAGGCACTTAGAAAAGATCAAGGGAGGCCTTGGTTATGTAAATATATTGTCCTTTGCATAAAAGGATGACTCCCAAAGATCAGGGCTTTGAATCGTCTTCTTCAGTAGTCAGGAAGGATTGTACTATATCTGCTCACATTCTTACACTGATCTATGGCCCACATTTGTGAAACAGCCAAATGGGGTTAAAGGCAATGTCAGTGGCTGGAGAAAAGTTTTTCCCAGGGAGAAGACAATTGACTCCCTGGAGATTAGTTCCTGCCACCTCACCCTGAGTTATAAGCACTGAGTAGCAACCTAGAAATGGAAAACAAAAATATAATAAATGATCAAATAAAGGCATGACAAAAATATTCCAAACTGAAAAGGGCTGAGGTTGTGGCCAAAAGTAACAACCTATCATATCTCTCAGTGGCACCCAAGATTATGCTATGTGACTAGCTATGTTACAGTAAAACAAGTATTTATTCTTCCTTCTTGCCCCTTACCCACCCCCCGCCCCCCCCCCACACACATATACATACACACACATTGGCTGTCCAGGAAGTCAGACCCATCCATACTCTTTTTGTTGTTCAGTCATTTCGGTTGTGCTCGATTCTGTGCCCCCTATTGGGGTTTTCTTGGCAGAGATACTGCAGTGGGTTGCCATTTCCTTCACCATCTCATTTCACATATGAGAAAACTGAAACAAACAGGGTTAAATGACTTGCCCAGGGTCTCACAGCTAATAAGTGTCTGAAGACAGATTTGAATTAAAGTCTTCCCGAATCTAGGCCCAGAGTTCTATCCATTGTGATACCTAGTTGCCCCCAACCATACTGTCACTTACTAATCAACATAGCCTGAAAATGAGGATCATTCTCACAAGGAACCCTTTTTATTGACCATAACTATGAAAACTATCCTTTGTTCTTCCCTAAAGAGACTCTAGACAGCTAAATGGCTCAGTGGACAGAGCACTGGGCCTGGAGTCAGGGACACCTGAGTTCAAATCCAATCTCAGACACTTACTACCTGTGTGACCTTGGGCAAGTCACTTAAGACTGTTTGCTACAGTTTCCTCAGCTGGAAATGGCAAACCACTCCAGTATCTTCGCCAAGAAAACCTCAAATGGGGTCACAAAGAGTCAGACACGTCTGAATGACAACAACAAAGAGACTCTAAGTCACTACCCAACAGCCTGGCATAGTGTCCAAGACACATTGACATCAAACCATTCAAAGACAGTTCTCTTTTCCTTCCTAAGGTTTGCCCAAGTTACTAGCATATTTAGTCAATCCTTCCCTCATTCTTGATCTTCTTTTGTTTCTAGTTCTTTAAAAATGGAAAGAAAAAAAAAAGTATCATTCTCAAGAAAGCATACTCCTGGACAATGTTTTGATGTCTTTGTCAAATATTAGCTAAAAATGCATACTTTGGCCATTGCAGTTAAAAGATAACTATACTTTTTAGGTAATATTTACTATCTTTTAAAAAGGAAACACTTAGAATATGAAAGTAACTCATTATGACTTGGCTAAACCTTAATATTTTAATAGCGGCTTTCACTTCCATAATCTCATTCCATCCTCACAACAAAACTGAAAGGTCAAGAAGTATGTGCCCCACTTAGTCACAGAGAAACTGATCAAATGAGCTTCGAACCTCTGACCTCCCCAAATTCACAACAGAAACTTGGTAAGAAGTTTTAACAACCAGGGGCAGCTAGGTGACACAGTGGATAGAGCTCCAGCCTTGGAATAAGGAGGACCTGAGTTCAAATCTGACCTCAGACCAAACACTTGACACTTACTAGCTGTGTAACCCTGGGTAAGTCACTGAACTCCAATTGCCTTAAAAAAAAAAAAAAAAAAAACTTGACCATCCAAGCTTCCTGTACAGATTCTAATCAGAAGAGAAGAAACAGTACTAACAGCTAATAGGACATATGGAAGTCTTCTTCAGTCCATCACTTTCACGTTACTTTTTGATCCTTCAGCTTGACCTCAGGGAAGTCTCAGCATATGTAAGTTAAATTTTATGGACCTCAAGTGACTCTTATTATTCTTATTAATATTATTCTGTATACAGTTATTGTCTTTAGCCAATAAAGAGTTGAAAATTTTAATTTCATTGTTTTTTGGGTTTTTTTTAACTCAACAAAATTGTTTTATGACTCATTTAGTTTGTTTTCTTGTTTTGGGAAGCTAGGTGGGGCAGTGGATAGGGTGCCTGGAATCAGGAAAACTCTTCCTGAATTCAAATCTGGCCTCAGATACTTACTAGCTGTGTGACCCTGGGCAAGTCACTTAACCTCAATTGCCTCACAAAAAAAAAAAAGAAGAAGAAGAAGAAGAAGAAGTTTAACAACCAGGTTTCTTATCTCCCAGCTCCAGGCTTAGCTCTGTTAGACCACTTCTTGCTTCTCATCTAGGTATATAATCTTTTTTTTTTTTTCCCTTACAAATTAGTACATGTCAATGAGCATTTCTGTAGCAATCTTTTTCACTGATCAGTGGAGGAAAAAAAAAAAACTAACAAGTCAGGAAATACAGGGAAATATTTTGAGTAAGACAAAAGTAAAATAACATCCTATTTTCTCAACAATCAAACCTCCAGCAACCACAGTCTTCTCACACAGGAACAACACAGGAGCAAATTAAAAAAAAGCCTCAAAAGTAAAGAGCTGACACAAAGTCGGAGTTCTTTTTGTTCTCCAAGACTCTATAGAGCTGTCTTTAACCTAGAGAGAAAGTGAGAACTAAATATACAATGACATTTATTGATTTTCCTGTATCTCCAGCCTCAAGCATTGATTTCTATAAGGTTTCAGGATGCCACTCTCTCCCAGTTTTCCTCCTACCTCTCAGACCACTCCTTCTCTGCCTCCTTTGCTGGCTCCTCCTCCAGACCACACCCTCTAAGTAGAGGTTTCCCACAAGCTTCTGTTCTGGACCCTCTTCTTTTCCCTCCCTGTACTACTTCACTTGGCTCTAACAGCTTACAGTATAGGCCAATTAATAAGATTTTCCCTGGGAACATACATGAAACAGGAAGACACAAAATTCGGATACCAAGGCTGCGACAGCCAAGGAATCACTGTGCTGCCGTGCGCTGCCACCATAAGGGCTCACCTCGACCTCTTTCTCTCTTTCCTATCAATCCACTCATCTTGATGGTATAAGGGCCAGTGATACAAATAACACCCCGGAAATCTGGGCTATTTCTTTTTATTTTATAAACTCCTCACAGCTGACTGCGTGCCGCGATGTCGGTGGGGCATGTAGCTGGGGAGGCGGGGCTTCCTGTCCCACGCTGTCTTCTCTTCTGGCTGGAACCGGAAGGACTCCCCCCCCACAGAGTCAGAAATTCCCCAACCGGAAGGTGACGCATTCGGGATCTCAGGAGGTGGGATTACCTTGCTGCAGCGCCATGTTCAGCATTAGTTTTGCTCTGACAAGTTGTTCTAACAGGACGCAAGGATTGCTGAGGTCGAATGACTCCCATAGCAACCATTTCTTGTCTTTTAAAATGTAATCAGTTTATCCCAATGGATAAATCATCAGTGAATATAAATGAACAGTCCTCAAAAAGAAGATTGAAACCTATTGTCAAACATATGAAAAATTGTTCCAAATCACTGATGATAATAGAAATACAAATTGAAACAACCCTGAGGTTTTATCTCACAGCTTTGCAAATTGACAAAGACGACAAAATATAGCCATTAGTCAATGGTTGGAGGAGTTGTGAGATGATAGGTATACTAATACATCTTTGGAGAAGTTGTGAAATGGCACAACCATTTTGGAAAGTAATTAAGCAAAGTGGAATTATGCAAATAAAATGAATAAAATGTCCTTGCCCTTTGAAATAGAGACTCCATTTCTGGGCTCTTAACCCCCAAGGAAGCCATTGATAAGAAGAAAGTCCCTATATATACCAAAATATTTATAGAAACACCTTTTGTAATAGCAAAGTATTGGAAACAAAGTAGATGTCCATCATGGGGAATGACTAAACAAATTGTATGTGAATTTAATGAAATATTACTGTGGTCTAAAAAATGAAGTATGTGATTAATACGAAGAAACATGGAAAGATCTATGTGAACTGATGCAGAGTAAAGTAAGCAGAGCTAAAAAAAAAAAGCATGACTACAACAATGTAAATGGAAAGAACAATCAGAAACACAAAAATTAGAAGTCAATAACAAAACTTTAAAGATCAAGCATGATTCAAATGAAGAGATGTGAGAAGACACACCCACCCCAAACCTTTGTGGAGATGGAAGGTCCACTGGTATTATATATTACACATTTTTAGACTTTTTCATTGTGTTGACTGGTTGAGCTTATTTTTTCCTCCTTCATTGTTTTAAAAAGATATTTTTTCTTTTTTGATGGCTCCTTGGGAGTGGCAGGAGGAGAGATAGGAGAAAGGCTAACCAACTGTACAATCTTTAAGATTGTGGTAGCAAAGCTCTATATAATGA